ATCCGGTAGGAGAAAGGCCCAAATGTTTCATCCTTGTTCGCACCAGTGAGTTGAGTTCCTGCCTCTCTGAGCGTCTGAACAGGTTGAGTCTCTGCTGGCTGATCCTCTCAGCTGCACTGCCTGGACCACCTTTGGCTGCGTTGGACCCGCGCCCCCCTTTCCTGCTCAGCCGGCGAGCCCACTGCATGCTCTTCCTCCTGAGCAGTGGGTGGTCCGAGGAGTGGGAGGAGGTGGAGACAGGCTCTGAGGAGGTGGAGTTACGGTGGGCACCGGTTCTGGACAGCAGAGGTTCTCTGGGTTCTCTGGTGTCCTCATAGTCTTCAACTGTGATGGAGACCTGGGACTGAGACACACAGACTTACACTTCCATGGATCAACAAGTTCATACAGGATTAACAGATCTGAGCTCTTTAGCAGGTAAGTTCTTAGTTCTGAAATGTAAAAAAGAATAAAGAAATCCCACAAATAACAAATGTGTCTCCTTTCTTTGAAAAAATAAATATCAGCTTTTAGAGAAGTAAGAAAATATTGATATGGCAATATATCATGACATTTTTTCCTGCGATATTATATTGATATTCAAAAGCTGTTTATCTAATTTTGAGAAGTATTTACCTGCAAACATTTGTGTATTTTCTTTTCTTTTGTTGCAATTCAAATGCCGAACACTAGTTGGCAGCAGTGTGCAATGGATTTTGTTTCCACCACTGAAATGTAAGCCCCCTGTATTATGGTTGGTTACCTCATGTTAAACAAGTTACGTATCAGTTTGGACTGTTTATTGAATTTTCCTACAATTAAATTCAGTCTAAAAAAATCACTAACAACGTCTGACTGAATGTGTCGCAATATATCGTGATATTTTATATATCGTCTCCCCTGTATCGTGATACGTATCGTATCGCCAAAATTTCACCAATACATCCCCCTATTAGCTTTGTGTGTGTATAGCTTTACGTTTGTGAAGGAAGTGTGTCCTGCTCTCCTTTACTCGCTGATTTTTGTAATAGTGCCAAGTTATGAATGATGTGTTTAAGGTCAAAGGTCAGACATTCTCTGATCTAGTTTCATCAGTTATATGGAAGAACCACAATCTCACCTGAATATGACTTTTTTAGACATTGAATTTTGATTCTGTGAAATTATGTATTTCAATTTTTTTACTTAAAGGTAAAGCGGAGGATCTTTTTCTTCCGGATAGATCATCTGAACCATTGGTCCGCATAACTGTCAATCATTCTGGTGAACCATTACCTCGAGGCCGTCGTCGTACGTGCTCGTTGCTGGGTAGTTTTTACTTCCTGCGCATGAGCAAAGCGAAGGTCGGGCTCTTTACAGAAGCCTCTGTCGCAGGTTTTCTCCTGGACAGGCAAAATAAAGTTCGGCATGCCATTTGGACTAATAAATTTCAGATTACTGCTAGAAGAATTGCTGCAAGGCCGGCAGCTACTGTTAAACGGGGTGTGCACGAGGATAACTGGGCTTTCTTTTTCGTGTGCATTTTTATTAAACATGGAGAGGGCGGATCTTTGCTGAAATTCAGAAACATCCTCCGCCATACCTTTAAAACACATCAGCAAAAATGTCATCTGTAAAAATGTAACAACAGAAATTCAGCAACAACTGAGGTGGTCTCCTGGTGACCCAAGCCAAAGTAATCGTCATTCAACCGAGTCGAGTGGATTTAAGCCAATTAAATTCTTCTTCTCTGATCATGTGTCGACTTGCTTTCGCTTGGGTCACCAGGAAGTCACATCAGTTGTTGTAAATTTTCTGTTGATGAAATCCTGCAGTTGACTTTCTACTAATGACATTTTTGTTTTTTACGTTTGTAAGTTAAAAAAAAACATTCAAATACATATATTAAACAATAACAATTGAATGAATTTCTTCCATACAGCAGGTGGTCCAGGTCCTGAAGCTGCTCCCGACCATAACACTACCACCACCGTGTCTGACATGTGTTTGTGTGTTTGAAGTTCTTTTCTTAGATGCAGAGTTAGTTTTTGTCTGGATGTAACTGGACCTTCTAGAAAGTCCCTCTCTTTGTCTCATCAGCCCACATAGTAACTTTTTCCCAGAAGTGTTGTGAATCATCAAGATGTTTTTAGAGTAAATGTGCAGTTTTGAAACTCTACCATGGAAGTACGTGATGTCACTCATCTCCTTGTTGTAGAACCATGAGCTGACCTTAAGCTGACCCAAGTGCCTGCAGGGCTTCAGATGTTCTGGGTACTTCTGTTCTTCAGTTTCTCAGAAACAGGCCATGATTTATTTTTAGATCTTTTAGACTACTTCTTGTTGCCAAACAGGTTCTATTTCTTAGTGCTACAGATTCAGCAGCTTAGGTGAGGCTTCAGTGAAAACAAACTCAGCTTTCCATATAAAGTTGGTTTTTGGTTAACAATTACTATTGTTGTCTTTGATGTTGAAATTCTTTTGCTGAATACACAATTAATTGATTATTTTTTAAGAAACAGAAAACACGAGACATTTAAGGCAAAAAATACTTTTTGCATCATCGTTTTCACTAATTTTGCATTTATTTGGATACTCTTGTACAAAACAGGTGAAACTTGAAAATTGAGAATATGGTGCTAAAGTCCATTTATTCAGTAATTCAACTAAATCTGAGAGTCCATCCAATGTATGGTACTCAAATGTAATGGTCTGAGGGCCACTTAACAAAATTACCTTGAGGTTCGAGGTCCAGTCCTGGTGTGTGTGTGTGTGTGTGTGTGTGGGTGTGGGTGTGGGTGTGTGTGTGTGTGTGTGTGTGTGTGTGTGTGTGTGTGTGTGTGTGTGTGTGTGTGTGTGTGTGTGTGCTGGCAGATCATTACACAAACCTATGCAGTATAACAAAAAGGCTCGGGAGCTCATTGCAGGGTCTGAATTCATTAGCTGATTAGAGTGTGACACTTTGAGTCTAGAATATTTTACCTTTTCATAATATTCTAATTGTCTGAGTCTGAATGTGAGGTTTACATAAGCTGTAAGCCATAATCATCACAATCATAAATAAAGGCTGAAATATCTGGCTTTGCATGTAATGAGTCTATCTCATAGTTTCACCTTTTAAGCTCAATTACTGAAATAAATAAACTTTTGCACCATATTCTATTTTTTCAGGGTTCTTTTTGTTTATTTTTATAGAAATGTATTTACACTGAACAAAAATATAAATGCAATACTTTTGTTTTTGCTCCCATTTTTCATGAGCTGAACTCAAACTTCTGAAAATTTGTCTACATACACAAAAGACCCACGACTCTCAAATATTGTAATAAAATCTGTCTACATATGTGTTAGTGAGCACTTTTCCTTTACCAAGATGATCTATCCCACCTCACAGGTGTGGCATATCAAGGGGCTTATTAGACAGCATGAATAATGTACAGGTGTGCCTTAGACTGCCCACAATAAAAGGACATCCTGACATGTGCACAGTTTTGCTTTATGGGGGATGGTGGAGCAGAAAACCAGCCAGTATCTGGTGTGGCCACTATGTGCCTCACGCAGGGCAACCCATCTCTGTCACATAGAGCTGATCAGGTTGTTGATTGTGGCCTGTGGAAAGTTGGTCCACTCCTCTTCATTAGCTGTGCGAAGTTGCTGAATATTGGCAGGAACTGGAACAAGCTGTCGTATACGCCGATCCAGAGCATCCCAAACATGATCAAAGGACACACTGGCCACTTTCCGCACTCGAGTACGTTCTTCAACAATCTGCTATTTAACTGTATTATTTCCTGCAATTTCAGCTGTTAACTTTATTTTTTCTCCAAGTGTTTTTCTCCCCAGAAGAAGCTCCAACAGTGTTCTGCTGAGCTGTGGTGGCCTCATGGAGGGGGCCATCGTCTTGAACAGTGCTGCTAACCACTTAAACATTCTCCCTCTCCTGATAATAACATTTTACTCTCTTTGACGTTGGATGTGCTACTACTAGTTTACCCGTTTAATTATAGATTCACTAGGATAAATACAATAAAGTTTGTCTCTCACCAAATAGAATATTTACTAAGAAATCACAATGTACCCATCGAAACACTACTTTGTGTGTGTGTGTGTGTGTGTGTGTGTGTGTGTGTGTGTGTGTGTGTGTGTGTGTGTGTGTGTGTGTGTGTGTGTGTGTGTGTGTGTGTGTGCCTGCTCTGTCTTCTCCATCCCCAGTGAGTCATAGAGGATGGCTGCTTATACTGAGCCAGGATCCTCTGGAGGTTTCTTCCTGTTAAAAGGGAGTTTTCCTCTCCACTGTCGCTAAATGCTTGCTTAGTATGAGGATTGCTGTAAAGACTCTGACACTAGTCAGTGACTAGTGCAACCTATTGGGTTCCTTATATAGGAAACTTTTTACTGATTGGGTTAATGAACTGACCTGTATTGGATTGTTTACTGTGTGAAGTGCCTTGAGACAACTCTTGTCATGATTTGGCGCTTTAGAATTAAACTTGAATTGAATTGAATGAAATTGAATTGAATGGATGACATGTCTGGTGAGTATGCTGGCCATGCAAGAACTGGGATGTTTTCAGCTTCCAGGAATTGTGCACAGATCCTTGCAGTATGGGGCCGTATGTTATCATGCTGCAACATGAGGCGATGGTCGTGAATGAATGGCACAACAATGGGTCTCAGCATCTTGTCAAAGTACCTCTGTGCAGTCAAAATGCCATCAATAAAATGCGCCTGTATTCATTGTCCATAACATACGCCTGCCCATACCAGTACATATGGGCCACTCGTTCCACAACGTTGACATCATATATATATATATATATATATATATATATATATATATATATATATATATATATATGTATATATTTATATATATCTGGGACTGCACAGCATACCAGATGTTAGCAGTTAGCATGCTTGAGCCACGTTGATTAGGGTGAATACCATCTCGCCTGAAAAAGGAGAAACGGTTCCAAAACAAGTTAAAAATATGGATGAAACCAAAACTGAGGGATCTGCAAGCAGACTGAAGCCAGGAGTGGAGAGAGAGTAGGCGGCTAAAATTTCCATACCCACGAGAAACTGTAGGGATCGGGCCAGAAATGAAAACAGACATTCTGCTGCTCTTCCGAATGTCAAAGAGATGGTTAAAATGCTGTTGTGTGATGACGGACTCCTGGCGTGTAACATTGTCTGATCCCACACGAATGATCACTCTTTTAACTTAAGTTAGGATGGAGCACAGCAGACCAGGATGTATATTCAGGAGAGCAGGCATGGTGGCTGATGGAAAACATGGTCTGCGGTTGTGAGGCCAGTTGGATGTACTGTCAAATTCTCTGAAACGCCTTTAGAGACTGCTTATGGTGGAGAAATGAACATTGATTTCATGGGCAACAGCTCTAGGAGACATTCCTGCAGTCAGCATGCTAATTGCATGCTCCCTCAAATGTTGCAACATCTGTGGCACTGAGCTGTTTAATCAAACTGCACATTTCAGAGTGTCCTTTTATTGTGGGCAGTCTAAGGCACACCTGTACATTATGCATGCTGTCTAATCCGCCCCTTGATATGCCACACCTGTGAAGTGGGATGGATTATCTTGGTAAAGGAAAAGTGCTCACTGACACACATATAGACAGATTTCAGAAAAATATTTGAGAGTCATGGGTGTTTTGTGCTTGTAGAAAACGTTTCAGATGTTTGAGTTCAGCTCATGAAAAATGGAAGCTAAAACAAAAGTGTTGCATTTATATTTTTGTTCAGTGTATTTTTAATACAGTTTCCTTGAAAAATGAGTTTGAACGAAAATAAATCAGGTGGAATCTATCATAATGAATGCATCCAGAAAAAAATGAGAAGATTCTTACCTCAGACACTGGAAGCTTCTGAGCTTCTGTACGGTAGATGCCGATGGGAATGTCTCCAGTGGAGGAGCACAGTTTCTGATACAGTCTGCCGTAGGTTCGAATCCACAAGTCCTCCTCTGTAATTTTCATCTGAAAATCAGACAAAATACAAAAGTCTACCTCTGAAGTGCCTCGTAGTTCAAACTAAATTCCAGCTGATTGTCTGTGCCGACTTACGGCACAGAGGAATCCTGATCCAGGCATGGAGTCCAAACCGAGAAGAAGTCTGGTGATGGAGATCATGTAGTCCTTCACAAATGACTGACAGCAAACAAAACCACAGTCAAAACTTGGAAAATCAAAGGAGAAGCATGACTGTTTAGTGTTTAAGAAACCTGGTAGAGCAGAGTGTCCAGCATGCTAACGCTGAACACCTTCCCAGCAGCGAAGGGCAGGCGGAACATGAAGACCAGGTTTGACCCCTTCTCTCTCTCCTTCTGAAGAACACACACACACACACACACACACACACACACACACACACACACACACACACACACACACACACACACACACACACACACACACACACACACACACACACACACACACACACACACACACACACACACACACACACACACACACACACACACACACACACACACACCAGTGTGTACAGGCTTGGTGCTGCCGAGGGAACACTATAACTTACTACTGACAGGCTGATATTCAGCCTTGAAGCCAAATGAGTTCCCACTGCACCTGATTTGTACGCGGTGAGGGGTAAAAGCAGCTCAAATGAGAGAAAAGCTACAAGACGATGCCGTTTTCCTAACGATCAATCTGAAATTCATCTAAAGAGATTATGTCAAGCGGCGGCTAAATTACACTTTGTTAATAAAACGGCACTGATGCTCCAAGTGGGACTCATCAGCAGCCAGCAACGACAACATTAACAACAACAGATAGTAAAAACATAAAAGCAAACAGCTAAATGACTGATGCTTTAATCTTCATTAACATTTTAGGACTGCATAAACATGTAACCCACTAAAGTGTTAAGTACATTCATGCTGGTACCTTCTCCAGTTTGGACAGAGCCAGAGAATAATGGTCCTTGACTTTGAACTGCATGAAGCGCATATTTGCAGGATGTGTGAGCTCTGTGATGATGCTGAGAGCCGGGAACAGTCTGGAGGAACAGAAAGAACACAGAAAAGTAACTAGGAAAAAGTCCCAGAGTTCAAACCTGGTGTGAGAGAAATTGTACATCAAGTTTGGGCAAAGCAGACCTAAATAAAGTTTGGACATTGACGATTGTTTTTGCGTCGGCCATGTAGTCCTCCTCTGCTATCATGGAGCTCTCTTTGTCAAACACCACCATGGTGTCAGCAAATGTGATCCCACATCGGAGCAAGCTGTCAAGACTGTGAAGTAAGGACATAAAGGTCACCAGGTCCTGAAGGGGAGGGTTACCAGACATTATAAGATGAGCAAAAACCAAAAAAGCGCGAGTCTTACTTTTCGATGGAGCCCACTGTGTAGAACACCATGGGAAACCAACAAATAGCTTCCAAAAAATCAGCTTCAGGTCTAAACCAATCAGAAAACAGACTTTAGGGTCCTGGGAGGGGAGATTTATCAGTGGCATAGTCTAGAGCTGAGGTCCCCTCAGAGACAGCCTTGTCCTCCTTCAGCACTGAAACAGGCTAAAGGCCTTCTGAGTGCTGAAAAAAGCAGTACTACGCAGGAGTGACTCAGCGTTTTATTGCCCTTTTATTGGATTCCGCTCCCATTTGGCTGACTGCGTCTGTCTACCAGCCACAAAACATGACACAGCGCTGTGGAGGAGCACTCTTCTCAAAGCATTCAACTTCTCACAAATCATGTTTACGGAGACCTTAAACCCCCAATTTTCAACATTCTGTGCAACCTAGATTTCAACCACTGCTGTCACAGCTGCAATTAGGATCAACAGCCGGCTTTAGTGGGAAGTTGGATTTTCAGAACAATAACACTGTCCTCACATGCTCTCCAGCAGCAGGACGATGGGTTTGAGCTCCTTCCGTGTTCGGTAGTATGCGCGGAGAGGCACAATGAAGTTGTACAGACCGTTTCCTGCAGCCTCCGCAGACACAATGATCAGTTTGTTTTTGAAGCAGTAGGAGCGAGCATCCTCAAAGGGGATGTGGTTGCAAGCCTAGGAGAGAAGGATGGGGGTGATTGGCTGTCATCTTCGGGGTAATATGCCACCGAAGTGCATGCTGTACCTTATCCATGCGTAGGCAGCAGAAAGGCATCTTTTCTTGCAGGAGGTGGCATAGCGCTGGCGAGCTGCCTATGTACGGAGAGTTTGGAGGGTATCCCTTCACCCACCTGTAGGACAAGCATGCATTGACCTCTGATCCTATGAAACATCACACCTACTGTGACCAGCTCACTCCACTTACTCGCAGTGTCGCCCCCACCAGTGAGAGCTCTCATCTTTGTCACTGTCATCCTTGCTTTCGTCTCCTCCCTCATCCTCGGACTGTTCTCCCAGAAGGTCAAAGGTCGGGTTGTTGACACCGTCCACCAGCTCCAGGACCGGTGCGATGCTGTGCCGCCTTTCGTCAGCTGAATCTCCCTTGGCGGGCAGAGTCAAGGTGTTAGCACCTCCCACTCCTGTCCTGGAGCTGCTTCTGCTCCCTCTCCCACTGCCGAGCTCCACGCTGCCCGGGTCCTGCCCTTCAGGGCTGCTGTCGCTGGAGTCCTGCAGGTCGATGGCCACAGTGCCTAAACCACACAAAAGCAGGGGTCGTTAAACAATAGCTGACAGCTTTGCTGTCCACTAGGTGGCGTATTTGTGCAGCCAACGAGGAAGCATGGTTCTCTGTTCTGCTAGTGATGAATATTTTCCTTCCAAACAGGATTCAAATTTCTGACAGCTAATCCCTCTCGTTTGTGTAAATGAAACCTAGTCCTCGTGCTCGTCTGACTGACCCATGCTGGCGATGATGCTGTGGACGGGGAGCCGGGTTAGCCCGTGGTAGATGCTTTGGGGCACTCCTCTTGAGTTCCCCCCTGTGCCGCCCCAGGACGGCTCCCTCTGCCCCCGGACAAAGGCGGAGTTCTCCTCCTTGGAGATGTTGATGTAAAAACAGATGTCAGAAGCACCCATGATGTGACAAGGACCCGGGTTAAGCAGGATGTTGGTGGTATCTAGTCTGCGTACTCCAATCAGACAAACTCCAAACCTGCAGCCACACAGAAAAGCTCAGTTGTCAGCTGACTTCCTGCATGTGTCTTCATTCAACAGAATAAGGTTAAAGTTTTGACATACTTTTTATGTGCGTGAAAGGAGGCAAAAGTAAAACTCTTGCCCTGGTATTCTCCAAAGAATTTACTCTCCTCCAGACGTATGTGATGCACCTCGTTGGCTGAGCAGCGTCTGTAGGTCCGGTGCCACTGATCCGCTGAACTCGCGCCACCTTCCCTGGGTCAGAAACAAACAAATGAACAAAGTAAGATGGATGAGGTGGGAAACTGTGACCTTTAAAACACATTTTATGAAGCATCCAGCTCAGCGCCATGGTCACATGAGAATATTCTCCATTAAGGTTGAGGTGTTAACGCTTTACATCTCTGTCAAAGCTTCTGATCGATGCAACAATCAGGATGTGGACGTAGGACAAAGACCTGCAGCCCGTCCGAACGACACACGCTTCTTCTGGGGGATGGCTAAGAGGTGATAGCATGCAGCATCGGTGAGTAGGTAGTGTGACTGTGGGTGATCATATAAATACGTCTTAGCAAGTGTGCAGTTTACAGGAAGGAAGTGTAAAGCAGGAGAGGAGGACAGATCTGACTTATGGAGCAGTTTCTGTTTCTCAGCCATAGAAGCCATTCTAGAAATAGAGGACTTCTTATGAAGCAGAGAAATATGTTCACTTAAATCTCAAAGATTTGCTTTTAATTTTACATTTTAAAAGTTTCAGATAGGATGACAGGTAAGTATTATTGCTCAGGATGCTGTTCCTACTGGTTTGTTGAAACATAGTAGTATCTCTTTATGTTTTTTACTGTTCCATTAAAATAAAAGTATTAAGCTACGATAAAAATACAGATTACTTTGAATGAGCGTGCTGATTTTGACTTTACTATCAAGGATGCTGATCCAGTCACTTCTCACCGCTGTAAAACCAGATTTTAAAGCTGCATGTTTATTAAGCCTCAGCTCATTTTAACATTTAAACTGTAGAATAATTACAAAGAAGGGGCTTCGCAGTGGTGCAGTGGTTAGAGCTGTTGCCTGGCAGCAAGCAGGTCCTGGGTTCGATTCCCGGCCTGGGATCTTTCTGCATGGAGTTTGCATGTTCTCCCTGTGCATGCGCGGGTTCTCTCCGAGTACTCCGGCTTCCTCCCACAGTCCAAAAACATGACTGTTAGGTTGATTGGTCTGTCTAAATTGTCCTTAGATGTGAGTGTGTGTGTGCATGATTGTTTGTCCTGTGTGTCTCTGTGTTGCCCTGCGATGGACTGGCTCTCTGTCCAGGGTGTACCCCACCTGATTGCCCGCTGACTGTTGGAGATAGGCACCAGCCTCCCCGCGACCCCACGTGGACAAAGCGGGTTCAGAAGATGGATGGAACAATTACAACCAAAACTTTCAACCAAGCTAATGAAGTGAACCTGTTATTTATTCTGTCCCTTAAATCTGTGGAAAGTTCTCAGACATGAACTCATCGTGTTCCTGAAACCTCTTGGACATGCTTCCTATCTAATTATTAAAAGTCAGTCTCAATAGCCATTTTCAGTAAAAACACTCACTGTGCATGATAGAAAAAAAACAATAGTTGGATCAAAACTAAACCCTGTTTTATTCCACGTGTGGTACCTGTTGAGGGCTTGAAACGCTCCAGCTCGTTGCTTGAAAGCTTCCTGAGGTGCCGTTCTAAACAGGAAAAAGAAAGCAGCCTCGCTGTCTGCGTGATTTAGACTTTATCTGATTGTAAGATGGTAAGGCTGTGATGTGGACAGTAAAACAACCGACATAAAAAGGAGGAAAAAGAAAACCTACTGTCCTCTGGAGGAGTGGATCAATAAAGTGATAAGGGTGGAGGTGCCGGGACACACACAGTTTAAAGCCAGCATGGCGTACTTAAATTCTTCTTCACACACAACATGATCTGCACACAGAGAAATACAAGAGCAGCTTGGATTAGTCGGCGACAGCAAAACACAATTCTTCCCAAAACACAACTTGAATGATCTACCGGTCATGTGACGGCAGGGCCAAGCCCTGTAGCATCCTACAGGGTCAAAGCCAGTAGAATGAAATTAAATATACTGATTAAGGAGTTTGACATTTTTGTTAAGTTGTCTGTGGAAAAAACTGAAAAACATGGTTGTTAGCACTTTGGCAGATGTTCAAGTGTGAGTCAGGCTGCAGACAGACGTTCTCGCTGCAAATGTCAAACGATGCAGTCACTAATTTTAACAATCACGTTAAAAACGAGAGCTGAGCCAACAAAGCGTCCCTCTAACACAGATGCATACATGTTCTACCTGTCAGACTGAAATAAGTGATGCTGAAGTCACAAAGTTTCATTAGTCAAACATGTATGTCATGTTCTGTGTCCTTGTGGTCCTCAGCCCCCTCCACGTTCTCCTCCAGGTTCCCCTCAGGTACTGTGCTCCTTGTGGTCCCCAGCCCCCTCCAGGTTTCCCTCATGTTTCTCCCTAGTCACTTTATACTTAGTTATCCCACCCAATTTAGTCTAGTCTCCCCATAGATCCCCTCTCTTTTCGTCCCTGTCTCTTTAGTTCCCCAAGCTGAAGATTTAGTGTTTTTTTTCTGGTGTCTAGTTTCAGGTTTATTAGTTCACTTATCGTTAGTTCTCTGTATAGTTATATTATCCAGTCAGTCTTTTCCTTTAACAATGTGTTCCTTCCCCATTTAGATCTGATCCCTTCAGCTCACACTCCTCACACACCTGCTACCTGTTTCCCCGATTGCTTCCCTCTGTGCATAAAACCCTGTCTGTGTCTCTCAGGCCCTGTCCACACGTAGCCGGGGATCTGCCAAAACGTAGATATTTTCCTACGTTTTGGCCGGTTATCCACACGAAAACTGAGTTTTTTCACACGAAAACGGATCTTTTTAAAAACTCCGGCCAAAGTGAAGATCTGCGTTTTCTCCGTTTTGGGTGTCTGCGTGTGGACAGACAAAACCGGAGTTTTAAGGTCCGCAACGTCACTTTCCGCGACAAAAAAAAAAAAGCTGACATCACGCGTGCGACCTGTGTTTACACTAGCCGACAGCATGGATGCCCTCAGAGCTGCGCTCGCTTTATCAGTTGTCCAAGCGCTTTTTGCTTGTTTGTTTTTGCAAGCGGAATTACTGCTCCTTGTGGAAGACCACAGACGAAGGACGAGGTTAGAACGGGGGAAGTACTGCCGCCTACAGGTCTGGCATGTCCTTAACAACGTATTTATCCAGGTACGTGTGGACAGTTTTTCTTAAACAAGGTGGTGTCGATGCAGGGTTATGGAGGGGCGGATATTCGTTTAAAAAAACCCGGCTACGTGTGGACTAGGCCTCAGTGTTGTCGGTCCCTTGTATGTGTCAGCGTTGTTCTGTCCCTCTGGAGTTTCTCCAAGTTCGTGCTCATGAGTGAGCTTCTGTTCTGTTTTTGATCGTTCAGTGTGTTTTGAGATTAAGTCTGGTTTTTGTGCCTTTGGACTTTTGGCGCATCCTCCTTTAAATAAAGGAATTATTTTCTTAAACCACTCCTGCCTCGAGTCGTGCTGGGGATTCTGCATCTTGGGTCCAAACCTCCCGCTTTCAACGTGACATTGTAAAGCAGACCAGCACTTCTCTTAATAATCACTCAGGATTTATTTATTCATTTGTTTATTTTGTGAACTATGAAACTTTAAGAATAGATTATTTCTAATTCGGTTCTGCTCCTCAGACTGACCCTTGGCTTTTCAGTTATCTCTATTTCTCCGAACTGAAGACATTCAGGTAAGACATTAATGGATCATAATATCTTTAATAAATTCCTCTTTTCCAATTCTGAGATTTCCCGTTTTTGGGATGGGAGGTATGGGAAGACAAAGCAACACGTGGAGCGATTCCCACTCACCATTTAACAGCTCATTTGTTCACGGCTGTGGGCCAACCAAACAACCTGAGCAAACACAGATCACTCTACTGTCACCTGTTGCCTCCAAGCCTCTTCCCTGAAAGGAAAAACCAATTGACCGCTTAATATTTGTAGTGAGCCAATCAGTGATGCGAGCTGAGAGAGAATCCATTTCCTCTGCCGTGTAATTTTTGATTGCGTTGTGTTCAGCTCAGTGCACAGGTGTGCCACGCTGCCTGTTGGCGACAAACGTGCTGCCCGCCGGGCCCAGCCCGGCGCCTACAGTCAGCCGTAAGTGTCGCATATTAGGACGTAATTGGTGAGTAAACGTCAGGTCTGAGCTGAAAAATCACTTTAAGTCAGATGCTAGTTTGAGAATCATTAGACCATAGAAGATTTAAATGCAGCTTGCTCTGAAGTAATGAGACGTGTGTGTGTGTGTGTGTGTGTGTGTGTGTGTGTGTGTGTGTGTGTGTGTGTGTGTGTGTGTGTGTGTGTGTGTGTGTGTGTGTGTGTGTGTGTGTGTGTGCGTGTGTGTGTGTGTGTGTGCGTGTGCGTGTAAGAGCCTGGGGGTGGGTCGGTGATAAACATGACAATTAAAACTGGTGACTGTGAATATAGTGATTAAGTAGCAGTGTTGTTTTGACTCAGAGCAGCACATCATGATGCAGCTCACACACAAATGCACAGTAGTCCCTTGCTGTTCAGCTTGTCAGTTCGTTTCAGAGCCTCAGCTTGTGTTTCTATGGAGAAGCAACGGCCATTACAGCTAGACACACATTCCACCAATGATCTCAAACACCCAAAGCACCCACAGCCCCTGTTCTGTCATCCTGGCTCCAAATATCTTGGGAGTTTAAGCTCATGCCTCACTTTTCCTTTTTATTATAAACCAGGTTCAAAGGTGTAGCTGCAGGAGAGCAGCCCCAACCCGACCACAGGTCCACCGGCTTGGCTAATTAAATCAGTGAGCTGTTGCTGCATATACAATGAGCCTCTGCAATGATCTGAGCTCAGGGGGGCAAAGGGATATTTATATTTAAAACACAAATTAGGTAAGTAATCAATAGACTCTCTAGACCCCAAACACCTCCAGCTTCCCTGCTCGGCTGCAGCAGATCTTTTCTAATGAACGCTCAGCTCTTATTAAGCTGAGTTTAAGGATCAAATTAAATCTTACACCTCTTGCTTATTAATGCCTCCCACACCATTGCTTGATGAGTGTTTTCCAAGTGGCGTCAGGGTTTGGCATCTGTCCTCAGGGTGATGCTCGTGTGACTGCACAACGAGCGGTTATTGTAAATTCAGGCGGGGGGGGGGGGGGGGGGGGGGACGACACATCAAACGCACCTTATTATGAAATTTGCTCCATTAAGAATAAAAAAAAAATCTGGGAATCACTAAAGCTCCGGGCGTTTAAATTCAGCACTAATTATCTGCTGCATCAGTGACGGGAGCAGCTACTAGCCATTAGACAGGACGCAATATCCACAGCGCTCAACGCTAAATTAATATTCTGCAATGAATCAGGAGGCTATTTCAGCATGTCAAACGCCGTGTTCATGTGAGATGAAACATTAAAGCAATAAAAGCATCTGACAGCAGAGCAGAAGATTCCTCCTGCAGAGCTCACTGTTCGTCATGTATTGTTCAAAGGGTTTGATAATGGATGAACATGAAATGCTATTTTTTTGCTGAACCGTTCTTGCCTCACTAACAAAAGCCTGGGTCTGACTGTGAGGTGTTTTAACAGCGCCGCAGGTGGATTGCGCAGTGGAAGGAGCTCGTCTGCCGGGTTGGCGCTGCTGCAGAACTCACCAAAGGAAGGGATTTTCTGTTTCTGAGGTGGCAAAGTAAAACGTTAATCATCGATAGAGACAGCTGGGATAAAGGTGTCCATCTAAAATTGGGTCTAAGATCCTTCAGGGCTGCAGGCAGGAAGATGTGTGAGAACTGAAATGAAATGTTTTCAGGTGACCTGGCCGACATCTTCAGCTCAGACGGAGAGAGTGGAGGCAATCCAAAAACAAAACTATGCAGAATCTGTCCTGCTCCTGTCCAGAGCTGCTGCTCAAACTCTCGTTTGACAAGTTTAAGTCATCTGAACATCACTCAGCTCCTTATTAGCAAAACAAAAGAGCACTCAGAAAGTTTGTGCATCGCACCAGAAGACGACTCAAATCCCGTGATAAACTGAACAAAAGCCACTGCCAACTTGGACCAGAAAGACATAGAATCCAGTAAGAATCACTACGTTATAATCTGCATCCAGGACATGAATAGAAGTCGTCTCCAAACAACACATGCGGCTCAGATCCTTGCCAGCGTCTTTTTCTCACTGCCCACCTGCAAACTTGACGTGAAACTTGTTCTCAGGCTTGAGGATCTGGACGTACAGGGGGCAGTTTGGAGCGAAGTCTTTGACCGCCCAGGCTCTCAAGATGGTCTGATGGTCCTGCCAAATAACAAAAATGCAGAAAACAGAGTGAAGTGAGACGGATCGACCGACAGTAAAAGGGACAGAAAGAAAGAAAGTAAGTGAGGCACAAAGTGATGATTAGCAGCGTCAGACTACAGCATCCCCCTTCAGCTGCTGATGGTGTGGAGCAACCGGATGACCATGAAAGGTCAGATCAAGATCATTCTGACCTTTCATGACCGGCTGTGGTGAGAGCACGGTGAATAAAGTGTGTGAGGTTTCAGCCGAGACCTCTGGAAGAGTTTACCGTTATCTGGAAAAGCAAATTCACAAGGTCTTCTGCATTCAGGCTGCTTCAGTCAAATGTCAACAGAAATCGGAATCATGTTAGAAACGGGATTTTTCAGATACAAAAATGGACCAACAGAAAGGGCGTTTTGGGATCAAAGGTAAAAATGAAGATAATTTATTCTTGACATGCAAAGAAGAGGGGCTGTGCAGTGCCGCAGTGGTTAGAGCGGTTGCCTTGCAGCAAGAAGGTCCTGGGTTCACTTCCCCGCCTGGGATCTTTCTGCATGGAGTTTGCATGTTCTCCCTGTGCATGCGTGCATTCCTCCCACAGTCCAAAAACATGACTGTTAGGTTAATTGGTCTGTCTAAATTGTCCTTAGGTGTGTGTGTGTGTGTGATTGTACTGTGTGTCTCTGTGTTGCCCTGCGATGGACTGGCTCTCTGTCCAGGGTGTACCCCGCCTGATTGCCCATTGACTGCTGGAGATAGGCACCAGCACCCCCCCCCCCCCCCCCCCCCCCGGCTCAGACAATGGATGGATGGATGCAAAGAAGAGAAAGTATAGCTTATTAGTCAGTGTGGATGTTAGAAGGTTTGACGGGGTGAGTTGGATTTTACTTTGCAATCTGACAATGTTATCACAATATTCACAGTTTTCAACATAAGAGGAAGGATTTTCGGCTATCAAACCCCTTCAGTTGTTTTAACTGTGGATTTCAAACTAAAGGATATAATACAGAACCATTAGCAGAGAAATAAAACAAATCATTCAATGCAATAATGTGTAGAGATGGAGACAATGCCTATAAGCACATGACGATTACAATCTGGGCATGATTAAAGTTTTATGTCATCAAAGGTTATGAAATGTGGAGAAAAGGTTAAAACACGTACAGCAGCAATGCGGTCCACTTCAAACCGGTTGCTGAGGATAAAGCAGGCTTCAGCGTCGTCCATCCTGCAGGTAGTTAGTAGAGCACCGAGTGACAGGAGCCGCAGAGACGAGGGAGGGAGAGAGAGAGAAACGGGGGAGGCCGTGAGACACAGGAAGATGGGTGTTGTCATGTTATTGTAAGAGAGGACAAAAGAAGGGAAAAAAGTGGGACGACGGAACAATAAATAAACCAAAGTGACATTAAAGCCCACCGCGTTTAAGGATGAGTCTGTCGGAGGCGGAGACCTAATAAAAAACACGTTTCCGTCTCTGTGCAGTTTCAGATCCTGTGACTGATCTGAAAATCAGCTTGAGTCAAAGTGTAACTAAAGATGTTTCAAGACCTCTCATTGTAATTCTTAATTATTGGCCATCGAGTATTTTCATGATTCTGCTGTAAGTTTTTCTAATAAAGACAAACAGAGCGACTCACTTGGCCCTCATCAGGTCCTGGTCTTTGAGGGCCGAGCCCTGCAGGTAGATGACTCTCAGAGCCCACAGGGGGACGTGAAGGACCCTCCGGACCTGGACGTCCATCTCAGCAGGGCAAAGGATCACCACGTAGTAATCCTACACACACGTGCACAGAGTGGTTATTACAGTACAATGATCATGCTTGCACCAATCCAGCAGTCTCATGCATTTATGAACTCAAGAGCACCAAATTTCCAGGAACCAAAGTGAAAGACGTAAATCGGCCCCTGATGCTCTTGGAGGAAGGGTAAGGTGATAATTATTCACACCTTTGAGCAGACACACACAGCTGCTCCAAGATGAATAAGGCAGAGGTTTGATTCCTGCTTCTGCAGAATTAAATCCCATGACGCTAGGGGTCCTGGAAAGGATTATCTCACACACACACACACACACACACACACACACACACACACACACACACACACACACACACACACACACACACACACACACACACTCACACACACACACACACACACACACACACACACACACACACACACACACACACACACACACTCACACACTCACACACTCACACACACACACACACACACACTCACACACTCACACACACACACACACACACACACACACACACACACACACACACACACACACACACACACACACACACACACACACACACACACACACACACACACGACCCCCGGAAAACCTGCTTGTCCTACTTAAACGCAGACCTGCAGCCGAGGGTGAGCAAAGAACTCGTTGAGGAAATCCATGAGGAGGTCGATCTTGAGACAGCTGACGCACAACACCACGTGCTTCTCCGTCTGTGCCCTGTAGCGGCTGTAGTTGCCTCCAGATTTCTGTCGCTCCATCCACAGAAAGGCCAGCTGCTCAAACTGCATTTAGGGCGACATCCATCACATTCAACAGATGGAAACAGGATTAAGTTAGCGGGAATACAGCACGGACCCAGGTGGTGTATGAAAAGAGAACGTTGCCTCGTGTGTAGTGTTTCCATTTGATTAAGGAGAGTGTTTGGGGGAATTAAGATGAGAGAAGATTTCAGGATGGTGGATGGATGGAACATGATAGCGAACATTAACTTGGTGAGGAGGAGGATGCAAACGAGTAAGACTTCAATAAAACTGCACAGACATGTTTTTTGGTGCATCAGCAAAAAAAAGTGGAGCAAGAGCACGCAATTTACACGCCACGACCAAAAGAGCTTTTTAACTGATGCACGGGACCTTGAACCAAGTGTAACAGAGCTCCTGCAGCATCAGCGGCTCTGAATGGAGAGTAACAAGCACAGATGACTCAGACCTAGTTATATTTCATTAGCGTGTCATCTTTTCCTCTGGCAAGTCATCATTTTACCCCTGATAAATCAGATCTGTGTTGTGCTGAGGTAATATCAGCTCATTAGAAATTGAAAGCATCACTCAGGACAGAGCTCTTTAGGATGGACTTGGCCCACAGCCTTTCATGCTTCCATCAGAAAACTCTACATGATGAAAATTAAATGTAATCAAGTAAAAATAATCATGTTTTCAAAAATGCAGAAAGTCGTGTCAGGATGCATGTTTGGTGTTGACTCGTGGATCTGTCAAACAAGACGGAACACACGCACGCACGCACGCACGCACGCACGCACGCACGCACACACACACACACACACACACACACACACACACACAGAGGGCGGGGCTTGGGGCTTGCAGGGGCCAGTTTCTAAATGTCAGGGGGTATTTATGGAGGATGAGAGATGGCGATCGGAAGAGAGGATGAGATGATGAAGAGATCATCAGCTGATTCATGTCGTCGTAGCAAATGTTGCTTATGCTCCAGTTTTTGTTGTTCGTGAAGCCTTTGTGAAGACATTTGCAATATTTGGCCACAGCTGAAACACAGTAGAAGCTTTATCAGAAGCTGGTCCTTCCTTCGGGCGTGGGAAGCAGTCCCACATGCAGAGCAATGGCAAGCAATTTTAACATTTAATCAAAGAAGCTGGAACTACTCCTGAGCTATCGACAACAGCGATGCTTCCTTGTTTGCAAATGCGTAGGTCAAACAAAATATTCACTTTCACAATAAACTGGCTTTTAATGGAGCCCTGCAGGGGACTGTCACTCCTCAGCAGGCAATTTAAATACTTTTGTATCTGATAATCTTGTAAATCAGAGGGATTTTTAAAAATACTTTTATGCTGAATATCCAATTTGTTTTATTTTACTTTTATTTTTTGGAACGAAAGCTTAATCTTTAAAACATCCTTTAGAAAAATTGTTGGAAAAGTTCCTTTTATAATTATCAGACAAAAAACTACGGCCAGCTTTTACAGTCATTATGTAACGTTTGAGACACTGAAAAACATCATTCTTTATATCAGCTCTATGAACTTAATTAAAGGTATTCAGAACTCAAAATGACCTCAAATAGAAAAACAGAAATTTGTAAATGAAACAGAACGTTTAGATTTCCATGAAATTATATTGTAGAGGGATTTCAAGAAACATTTTTTTAGTATTTGGAGTTGTGTATGCTCTCTTGAGCCAGAGAAACAGAACAAAACCTATAATAAAAATATGGACAGACAAACTGGCATAATGGCAGACGGGCAGATATTTGGATTCGAAAGTTATTTTCTATTTTTAGAACTGTGTGTCAAACATTCATTATTGTCCATTTTTATTTTCATGTTTTCTTTTGGCAGATATTAATGGCATGTTGCACAAAACACGACGAAGCAGCAGATAGTGAAGCATTTGGATGAAGGTGGACACGTCCCGATGTTATGATGTCATTTTAAATTGATCTAAGATCTCGTCTCGTCTCGTCTTCCTCCGCTTATCCGGGTCCGGGTCGCGGGGGCAGCATCCCAACTAGGGAGCTCCAGGCCGTCCTCTCCCCGGCCTTGTCCACCAGCTCCTCCGGCAGGACCCCAAGGCGTTCCCGGACCAGATTGGAGATGTAACTTCTCCAACGTGTCCTGGGTCGACCCGGGGGCCTTCTGCCGGCAGGACATGCCCGAAACACCTCCCCAGGGAGGCGTCCAGGAGGCATCCTGACCAGATGCCCAAACCACCTCAACTGGCTCCTTTCGATCCGGAGGAGCAGCGGTTCTACTCCGAGTCCTTCCCGAATGTCCGAGCTCCTCACCCTATCTCTAAGGCTGAGCCCGGCCACCCTACGGAGGAAACTCATTTCGGCCGCTTGTATCCGCGATCTCGTTCTTTCGGTCATTACCCAAAGCTCATGACCATAGGTGAGGATTGGGACGTAGATCGACCGGTAAATCGAGAGCCTGGCTTTCTGGCTCAGCTCCCTCTTCCCCACGACAGATCGGCTCAGCGTCCGCATCACTGCAGACGCCGAACCAATCCGCCTGTCGATCTCCCGATCCCTCCTACCCTCACTCGTGAACAAGACCCCGAGATACTTAAACTCCTCCACTTGAGGTAGGACCTCTCCCCCGACCCGGAGGTGGCAAGCCACCCTTTTCCGGTCGAGAACCATGGTCTCAGATTTGGAGGTGCTGATCCTCATCCCAGCCGCTTCACATTCGGCCGCGAACCTACCCAGCAAGAGCTGAAGGTCAGAGCTGGATGAAGCTAGGAGGACCACATCATCCGCAAAAAGCAGAGACGAGATTCTCCTGCCACCAAACTCGACACACTCCACACCACGGCTGCGTCTAGAAATTCTGTCCATAAATGTGATGAACAGAACCGGTGACAAAGGGCAGCCCTGGCGGAGTCCAACCCTCACTGGGAACAGGTCCGACTTACTACCGGCTATGCGGACCAAACTCACGCTCCTCTGGTAAAGGGACTGAATGGCCCTTAACAGAAAGCCACCCACCCCATACTCCTGGAGCGTCCCCCACAGGGTGCCCCTGGGGACACGGTCATAAGCCTTCTCCAAATCCACAAAGCACATGTGGATTGGTTGGGCAAACTCCCATGCCCCCTCCATCACCCTTGCAAGGGTATAGAGCTGGTCCACAGTTCCACGGCCAGGACGAAAACCACATTGCTCCTCCTCTATCTGAGATTCAACTATCGATCGGACCCTCCTCTCCAGTACCTTGGAGTAGACCTTTCCAGGGAGGCTGAGGAGTGTGATCCCCCTATAGTTGGAACACACCCTCAGGTCACCCTTCTTAAAGATGGGGACCACCACCCCGGTCTGCCACTCCCTAGGAACTGCCCCCGATGACCACGCAATGTTGTAGAGACGTGTCAACCACAACAGCCCTACAACATCCATAGCCTTGAGATACCCAGGACGAACCTCATCCGCCCCCGGGGCTCCGCCGCTGTGTAGTTGTTTGACTACCTCAGCAACTTCTGCCCTCGAGATCGGACAGTCCATCCCCAGGCCTCCCAGCTCTGGTTCCTCCTCGGAATGCGCATTGGTGGGATTGAGGAGCTCCTCAAAGTATTCCTTCCACCGTCCGACTATAGCCTCAGTTGACGTCAGCAGCTCCCCATCCCCACTGTAAACAGTGTGAGCGAGTTGCTGCCTTCCTCTCCTGAGGCGCCGGACAGTTTGCCAGAACCTCTTTGGAGCCGATCGATAGTCTTTCTCCATGGCCTCACCAAACTCCTCCCACGCCCGAGATTTTGCCTCGGCAACTGCCACTGCTGCACCCCGCTTGGCTATCCGGTACCTGTCTGCTGCCTCCGGAGACCCACAGACCAGCCACGCCCTGTAGGCCTCCTTCTTCAGCCTGACGGCTCCCCGAACCTCTGGTGTCCACCAGCGGGTACGGGGGTTGCCACCACGACTGGCACCGGCCACCTTACGACCACAGCTAGCAACAGCCGCCTCGACAATCGCAGAGTGGAACAAGGCCCACTCGGACTCAATGTCCCCCACTGCTCTCGGGACGTGGTCAAAGCTCTGCCGGAGGTGGGAGTTGAAGACCGTCTTGACAGGTTCTTCTGCCAGGCGTTCCCAGCAGACCCTCACTATGCGTTTGGGTCTGCCAGGTCTACGCGGCATGTTCCCTTGCCATCTGATCCAACTCACCACCAGGTGGTGATCAGTTGACAGCTCCGCCCCTCTCTTCACTCGGGTGTCCAAAACATACCGTCGCAGGTCAGATGATACGACTACAAAATCTATCATCGACCTGTGACCTAGGCTGCCCTGGTACCAAGTGTACCGGTGGGCATCCTTATGTTCGAACATGGTGTTCGTTATGGCCAAACTGCGGCTTGCACAGAAGTCCAATAACAAAACACCGCTCGAGTTCTGATCAGGTGGGCCGTTCCTCCCAATCACACCCCTCCAGGTCAAGCTGTCATTGCCCACGTGAGCATTGAAGTCCCCCAGCAGGACAATGGAGTCCCCTGATGGAGCACTATCTAGCACTCGTCCCAGGGACTCCAAAAAGGGTGGGTACTCTGAACTGATATTTGGCCCATACGCACAAACAACAGTCAGGACCCGTTCCCCGACCCGAAGGCGCAAGGAAGCTACCCTCTTGTCCCCCGGGGTAAACCCCAACACACAGGCAGAGAGTCTCGGGGCTAACAAAAAGCCAACCCCAGCCCTCCGCCTCTCACCCGGAGCAACTCCAGCAAAGTAGAGTGTCCAACCCCTCTCCAGGTCTCGGGTTCCAGAGCCAATGCAATGTGTCGAGGTGAGTCCGACTATATCTAGCCGGTACCGCTCAACCTCTGCCACAAGCTCCGGCTCCTTCCCCGCCAGCGAGGTGACGTTCCATGTCCCAAAAACTAGTTTCCTTGTCCGGGGATTGGACCGCCAAGGCTCCCGCCTTGGTCTGCCACCCGATTCACATTGCACCGGACCCTTCATGTTCCTCCTGCGGGTGGTGGGTCCACAGTTGGACGAGCCCATGTATCCGGTTCGGGCTGGGCCCGGCCGGGCCCCATGGGCGAAAGCCCGGCCACCAGGCGCTCGCTCACGGGCCCCAACCCCAGGCCTGGCTCCAGGGTGGGACCCCGGTAACCCTCCGGGCCGGGTACTCCGACTCTTCGTTTTCACCGCCATGAAAGATCCTTCGAACCGTTCTTTGTCTCACCCTTCACCTAAGACCAATTTGTCATGGGAGACCCTACCAGGGGCACTAAGTGCCCCAGACAACATAGCTCCTAGGATCATTAGGGCACTCAAACTCCTCCACCACGATAAGGTGACGGTTCAAGGAGGAGTTGATCTAATTTTTTTTTTTTTTTTTTTTTTGATCTAAGATGAAAAAGGAAATTTCAATGACTGCAAGTTCTCTCTGTAGGACGTCTATGGAAATGTTAATTATGGCAGTTAGGTGTGTCAGCAATTATAAACGTTTAACACAGTTAAATAAAAGGATTAATGTGAATAACTGTCATTGCTGGCTGGACAGTAATAGATTGTGAAGATTTTAAAATGAAGCATATTTGTTCTCCCAAAACACAAAAACAGCACTAAATAAAACATCTTCAGCACTGAGTCACAGCGTCATTACTGGTGACTATCAGTTTTGTGTCTTTGGAGATTCTCTGTCCTCCGACTGCAGATACAAACACATGCACAGAGAGTCCTATTAGCACCCTGACGGGCGCACAGGTATGGCAGACAAAAGCTTTGCATGGATGGGACGAAGGCCCAGAGGGACAGTCTGAATGATGCTTTTGAAGAGGTGTTACATCACCTGCTGCATGTGTCTAAACATCCAAGTCTTTGCTGTCAATTTTTGTTTATGGAGCAGCTCAAACACAGGGAAAGGATTTAGGAAAGGGAGTGAGTAGAAAAGAGTCTCTTGCTGCTCTGTGAATAAAAATAGTGTCAAAAATGTTCGTAGGATGTAGTGACTCATCAAATTGTTGTATGATGGGCGAGATACAAGAAATATTAGTGACAAGGAAGACAACCTCAATGGTCTTGGGCATATCAAGGAGAACTAGGTGTCTTCTAAAGGTGGTGGAGCCGTTCTGTTTGATAGGTTAGATGCTGGAGGGCTCTGCATGACGATTTTAAAGTGTAATAAAAAAAGCAAAGATGATAAAGATGGAGTGTCATGATTCCACCCTCCCCAGGCTACTTGTTTGGCATCTTAGTGCTTGTGTTAAACATTTGTTTCTCACCTGGATAGGAAGCACGATGAGCGCCACAAAAATCATGATGACCACCAGGAGCTGCGAGGGCCAGATCTGCGGGGTGACATCTCCAAAGCCCACCGTGGAGAAGGTGACCACGCAGAAGTAAAGCGAGTCGAACAGGGTCAGGTTGTTTCCTGCTCGCTCGAGGTGCTGGATGCCGCAGATGCTGGTGGAGATTTTGGGGGGATGATGGGATGTGAGAAAAGTATCAGAGACACTTGTCATGCGGCTCTCGTGGGAGCCTTTATTCATGGGGAGAGGTTTTTCACACCTGTGCAAATATCTGTGACTTTTTATGTGCAAAGATGGGGGCGGATGCATGCTCCAATGTTGGGAATCTGTGCATGAAGGTGTGCTGTGCCTATTACCACAATCTTTAGCAGATATGAGTCAACCAGCAAATGTCAGACCTGGAGTGGTCTGGACACTTAACTCAAGCTGCCCCTCGATTTGCTCGAGCTTTTGCCCCAGATAGGAAGCGAGTTGACACATCCTCCGCTGTAGTGAAGCAATCGCCTGCTGTCTTTTAAGAGCACCAGCCCACTCTGACAGTAACCAATTACCTCTCTGCCTTCTGCCATTCTCTACCAGCTCCACTGGTGGCAATCTTCACTCCCTGTATGACTTTTTCTGCCTGTTTCACACTATAACTGCTTCATCTCATTCGTCCTCTTTGACACATTTGACTTCCTACGCAGTCTCCATTTAACAGCACTTTTCTTCTCCTGTCCTCCCTGCCTTCCACCTTTCCGTTTAGTGCTACAAATGGTGGCACTCACCATGTAAACATAAGACAGACCAATGTGCTGATGAGTATCACCACCTGGTTGAACATGGCCGAGTGTGTCCGCTGGATCGCCCTGTGGAGGTCATTCTGCAAAGACAAACAGATGTGTATTTGGACTGAATGTTGACATGAAATCTGTGTGGTGACTGGGAAGTGGGCCTACACTCCTTCTTCCAATATGTCAGCCGTGGTTCTAGTGTAAATGAATGAATGGGAAATAAAAGCTGTCGCTCCTTGTTCAGGAAGTAGAGGTTAGTCGGGGGAGTGGGGTGTGGAAAACGTCAGGATTTGGAGTCTTACTCATTATTATTTAAGATATGCAAACATCTCACCTCTGATTGGGTTACAGCTGCTTCAGTTCGCTCTTCTTTCTCAGTATGTTATCCAACACAAGCCTGAACATGTTCCACCATGTTTCGGTGTTGCTAATGCTAACGGTTAGCTTCTACTATGCTAACGGTTAGCTTCTACTAGCAGAGATGTGCTCTGCTTTCTTCTGGTTGCCAAATCAACAAAGCCTTCCGCGGTTGGGAACCAACATGGGTGAGTACATAAATGCAAGGTGTGATGTAGATCTGTGTGGTTGTTTCTGACCCGAGCATTTCCCGTCCATTTTAGGGGTTGAAGAACATTTTCACATTCAGATTGCATGTAATACTCAACGTGACCAAATATATCAAAAAGAAAAAAATAATTACACAATTTTTCATCTAACCTCACCCTCAAACCCTTTTATTGTTCTGTGGGCTAAGTGTGGCATTATACAGCCATTCTTTTATTTACAGTGTCAGTTTGCACCACCGAGGTAACCTAGTGGATGTCACTGCAGCAATGAAATCTGAGAGTTTTTTTTATTATTTTCTGACACATTTATCCTCACAGCAGAGAGTTTAAGATAAATCTGGTGGGCCGAAAGTGGAGAAGGAGTAGAGGAAGTGCTTGCCAATGAAAAAACACAAGAGAGGTGTCGAGATGGCAGCTACGGGAAACCGAGAATGGAATATATTTTCTCACTTACTATCATGTTCTCCAAGGCATGTTTGGCCAGCCAACAATTGAGAAATACAGGGATGAAGAGGTTTCTGAAGGAGGGCAGAATCACCTGTCAAAAAGAAGAAAAAGGCTCACTTGGCTCTCTGTCACTTCAGCTTTATTGTGCAGCAGAGTCTTGAGCTCTCTAGTGAGAGACGGGGTTCTGTCAGAATGTGCCTGCTGTGACTCCATCAGCGCGGATATTAGCCAAAACAAACGACTGATGGAGAGACTTCCCTGCAATCAGTGCTCAGCGACTCTTATCTCTCCACTCACAGTGATCATGAAGGGAACAGTGCTGATCATCTCCAGAATGAATGGGACACGTAAGACTTGCTCCCAAACGTTGCCCTGGAAACACAAAGCACACCCGAGGGTCAGCAAGTTTCATTGTCTCCATGACCTTAAGGGATTAGAACATAACAGGACCGCCAGCTTAGAGTGGAAAGGGACAAATGGACAAGCTTTTTCTTTGTAGAATGAATCTCAGGATATATACAGGTTATACAACTCTCTTGTGCCATTTGAGAGGAGAGGCACATTGCTCAGTTCCCACTAAGCCTTGCTCCTCAATTAAGATGTCAGCCATGGCTTTTTTAATGTGTTTGCTGCCTGGATGAGGCTGACCTAAATCCGACTGGTGTAGGTGGACAGTCACAGGCTGTGTCCACGGGAATCAGTCAGCTTTAAATGCTAAGGTCTCAAGCCTCCAGAGTAATCTGTGGAGTGAGCCCTTCACAAGCATGCAGTGTCAAGTACATCAAAGGCAGGGGCAACCCGCTGATGGATTATGCCCCCCATTGTCTCAACACAGGGGTCTCCCCTAAAGTCTCTTTGCTACGTACCAAAACAATGCAGAAAAGGCCTTGAGGCCCGTCCAACTGCAGGAGCGGAGGAGAGGTCAACGATAAAGGAAAAATATCTGTTTTGTGAACACATAGAAGGTGCAAAAAGGACAAAACACCCTCAGGCACTCCCCAAACACACATACGCACACACACACACACACACACACACACACACACACACACACACACACACACACACACACACACACACACGAGCAAACATCACAAAAGGTTCCCGAGCGACCAGCAGGAACCATGAGTGTCTCACCTTGTAGCTGAGATACACCAGCAACATAGTCTCTGAAAAGCTGATGAAAGCCACAAGCACCTGCAAAAAAAAAAAAAAAAAGTGACACAGAGAATCAGTAAGAGACAACGGTGCAGACACAGAACAGAGACGAGATGGAGACCGGAGCAGAGAGAAATTAGGAGTCGCAGAGATGGAGCGCGTGGGTGGAACCAGTGGGAGGGCTGATGGTTTTTGCTTCAGAGGGAATAGGTTTAAATGAACCAAGAGACATTCTGGTGTCTGACTTTTTACGCCTGTTTGTATTAGAAGGTAATGTTTCTGTATATGTGAATACATTCAGGCAACAATCAGCTGGGCTTGGTGAGTTAAAATCCTGAATTGACTTCACGTCAATACAATTTGCAAAAAAAAAAAAAAAAAAGGATGAAAGCACACATTACATGCATCTGGTCGCAATTTAGCCGTAACAGTAAAACAACTGAACTGACTGAATTATATAGTATTGTTCATAATTCAGTGTATCTCAGTTAGTGATGATATGAAACTTTTGGGCCGATACCGATGTCCGATATTAATATCACTGTCTGAAAACCGATATTTGCCGATACCGATAAACTGACATTAATGCATCTAAAATCAGCAGATTTTGTATAGAATTACAATTATTAAAGCTGAATTTATGTTATTATGTACACACATCACACACATTTATGCTCCTAAAACAAAAACACATCACCGCACTCACCCTCTGAAACAGATAAACAAATGGAAACAAGATGGAAAAATACCGGTTGTTAATATTGGCCCAGTTTTATTTACCGGACTGATACCGATATTTTAAAAATGACCAACATTGGCGATACCAATATTGATGCAGATATATTGTGCATCCCTAAGTTCAGTGTATAATTTCAAAAATTTCATAAAAATGTTTTACCAATCGTAGATAGCTCTGAACAGCCTCTGCTGAGAGAAACAGAGTTTGCAAGCTGCAGGACTAATGAGCAAATGGCCAGTCCAAGCACAACTGAGACCAAAGTGAATTACTGCCTTTTTAAAATAGCTCCCATCTCTAAAAAAAAAAAAAAAAAAAAAAATCATGCAACCTTTATAAACCTTTACATCACTCATTTTTCATTGCATGTCTATTTACTTGCACAAACTTCACTGGCAGCATCATATCTGGTGCATGCATTTAAGTTTCCATTGAAACAACTTGAGGGATATGTAAAAGTCTATAAAACAAGGTTTTAACAAAATGTTATGAATTTTACATCTGAGCTGATGTACCAGAATTACAGAGACTACAAAAACAGAGTCTGCCTCAGTTTAGAGTTTTTCTGCTGTTGATTTGGTTTTATTTGTTGATTTCACTGTATTTTCTGTTTGCTTTGTCTTATTTTGTTCATTGTTTCAAGGTCACTTACTCTCACGTCTCTCTATTCAGCTCTCCCAGTCATGCCTGCCTCTCTCATGTGAACACTAACCTCTCCTCACTCAGCTATGAACCTTATAGCCAGCCCTGGTTTCTCTGCTTTTTGTTCCTGTTTCCACGACGTCTCTGCATGAGGAGTCCTGTTCCTCCACGCTGTACCTTTTTGTCACTCAGCACTGAAACATTTTCTGGATTTCACCTGCCTGCTCAAACTTTATTTATGTATTTATGCTGCCACACACTTTGGCCACTGCTAATGCTTACATTGTTGAAATAAATCCACAAGTGGAATCTTAACCCTTTAGAGCGGGTGTACATAGTTTAACATTTTAAAAGTGACGTTAAAAAGCATACATTTAAATATCTGACCCTGTTTTCTGATATAAAGTAGGATCTTTCATCATTTATATTTCCCCCAAGTCCCTCCCTTGGCCTTTGGCAAATGGTCTTCTTAGGGTTCAACAACCCCCCAAGATGCTTCACAATACATCCAGTCACACACACATTCACACACTAGTGATGATGAGCTACATTATAGCCACAGCAGTCCTGGGCACACTGACAGAGGCGGGACTGCCAAACACTTGGTGCCACTGTTCCCTTCGACCACCTCCAGCTATAGAGCTCCGGACCCCACGCGACTCTCAGTTAGTAGACGCCATATTGGCAGGTAAAAGAAGCTAAACAAACACGGATCTTAACCATGAACGTGAACGGGATCAGCTTGGATTTTACTTCGTCGGAGTTTACTTCAGCATGATTGCAGATATTTACGAGGTTTACTCGTTTCATGCTCGTATTCGTCAAAAATGCTTTATCCGTACCGGATACGGCTCATCCCTAGTTACCACCTGGCAATATTTTTTATGTTAGAAGATTTTACCTGATGAGCAGTACCAATGAGCAGTACCTCTGTTTTGCTGCTGTTTAGCTGGAGAAAATTTTCAGACATCCATGCCTTTGTCGCATCTAGGCATGCACTAAGAGCAGAAAGTGTAGATGAGGAGGACACTGAATCAATTTTGAGATAAAGCTGTGGATCATCAGCATAAGAATGGAAGAATATCCCAAAATTTCTAAAAATATCCCCAAGTGGGAGCATATATATAATAAAGAGAATTGCTGTTATAGAGCTCCGGGAGCTGACGTCACTTCTCCCGGCATGCAACAGTTCAAATCGAAACAGCGCCATTTTGGCAGGCAGAAGCCCGCAGCTGGACTATTTGTTATTGTCGGAAAACTCAAACGGGAAATATGGTAGATTCCTGTTGTGCCCCAGGATGCAGAACAGACGTGGATGACATACGGAATGAGCCATCCGAGACAGATCTCAGACAGATCCTGAGACGCTCCTGCCTGACATATTTCATGGAAAAAAATCAAACTAGTGATTTCTCTTGGAGTTCAGTTTATACATTCAAACAGCACAGCACTCTATTTAAACTACTTACATGTAAATCAGTTATTTGTCCATCCATCCATCCATTTTCATCCGCTTATCCGGAGTCAGGTCGAGGGGGCAGTAGCCCAAGTCGAGAGGCCCAGACTTCCCTCTCCCCAGCCACTTGGGCCAGCTCCTCCGGGGGAATCCCAAGGCGCTCCCTGGCCAGGTCAGCTCCGACAGCTTCTGGCGTTTTAAAAAAGTATCCCAGGGGCACGGTAAGGGTTGGAGATGTTTAGTCTATTTAACTTCTGACTATATAAAACCATTTCTTCAGTTTTAAAGTGTGAAGTAAACTCCGACGGAGTAAAATCCGAGCCGATCCCGTTCATTTTGTTTACCTTTGTTGCCTGCCAACATGGCGTCTACTCTCTGAGAGTCACGTGGCGTCCGGATCTCTATAGAATTAAATACAAACTAGGTCTCCTTACCTATCAGTGTATCCATGTAAATGCTCCTATTTATCTTAAAGAGCTCCTTACTATCCACATCACCTCAAGAAATCTTCGCTCCAGAAATGTTCAATTCCTGCAACAGCCCACAACAAAACTTCATACCATGGGAGATCAAGCTTTTCAAGCAGCAGCCCCACGCCCGTGGAACACACTCCCTGAAACATTTAGAGCACCTCAGAGTGTTGAATGTTTTAAAAAACATCTGAAGACATTTTTATTTACACAAGCTTTTCCAAACTGATTGGTATTGCTGTTGTAAAACTGTAAGGCTTGTTTTTGGCATTCTGATTTCTTTACTGGCAGACAGGACACAGGGAAAAAATGAAAGGGAGTGCGGCACCCTAGCGCCACCTATGGACGGGCTGCCCCTGGTCCACTAAGAGAAAGACACTGGTCGGAGCGGTGGTTCTGAGCAGCAGTCAGAGAAGATGTTTACTCCACTCAGTCCAGACTGATAATGAATCTTGCATGCAGGATGCCACTGCTGGTTGACTCTTTCCGCCAATCAGAAGATCACTCTATAGGTAGGCGTGAACTTCAGCCAGGAAAGCAGGTCCAAAAAACCTGTCAGCTGAGCATGAAGAACCCACAGATCACCCGGATGTGAACACAGTTAACCTACCAGGGCTGGGCCGGGCCGACCCAGACGTGAAAGCCCCACATCGTTTCACAGCTGGTTCATGCAGGGTTATTTTAAACTTTTATACTGCAGCATTTTGCATTTATTTAGGCAGAAATACTAAAGCATTCATGTAAGTCTGCACTTACACTCACTCAGGAGACTTTTGTGGTTGTAGACGACCATAAACATCATTTAATAACCCTGTCATCCTGTAGAAAGGTTTATGAAACCACGCTGCATCAAAAACTATGAACTGTTTTGGATAAATGACAATACTACATTTCTGTTTCAGCTGTGCTCAGACTAGCAGTAAGCTCTTCGGTCTCTTCTGAACGTAAACACTTTTCTCTGAATGTAGGATGTTCACAAAGCTGTCTGCAAGAATGACTTCTACAGAGAAACACATCAAAGTAGCAGAAAAAAGCTCTTTTATGTCAACAGTCCCCCAAGCATAACAGCGTCTCATCGTAGCACAGAGCATGCTAAGTTACCTGCATGTGTTCATGGAGCTGACAAGAGCCTGAAGTGATTACATGTCTGCAGGATACTCTTTAATGAGCCCATTCTGAATCAGTGACAGGTGAGCCTGATGTTGCACCCGACATGTCTGTCTCCATACACGGACGCAACAACAGACTATTGGACTGAAGTGTGTTTAGACAAGAATGTTGTGGTGCATCTGACCTGCAGCGCCCACAGCGGTAGCGGCCTATCAACCCAGATGATGAGCTTCCTACAGAGTGGGAAGGAAAGGAGTCATAAATCTTATTGGAGTGTGAAAATGTATCAAAGAGGAACATAAGTTACACAGATATTCATATAAAAAAAGACAATAAATTCTGGTTTGCAAACGAAAATAAATGAAGTTTCTGCCTTAAATATGTTTACAGCTGAACTGCATCATGCTCATATTGTAGATAAAAGAGTAATAATCACAGAATCAAATTTACATCCTTGTTTTAGGAAAAGGGTATCTCTTTTCAAGAACATTTGCCATAATTGCTATCGATGCCATAAGTCTGCTGTTTGCTGCAGGAGGCAGCCTTCCCCGTTCCCGAGCTCTCTATCAGGCTCCTTATTCATTCGGAGCCAGAGCTTAACCAATGCCATTAGCCATCAATTAGATCAATAGGTCCCCAAACAGGAGACATGGCACAGCCTCAGGTCCATCTCCACTATCTGGTGCTCCTCCGTCTCCATTGTTGTATATTACACACTTTATCTTCACTAGATCACAGCTGATTAGCCTGCACAGGCACTGCATACATGTTATGCTGACAGGTGTTCAATACTGCTGGATTGTGACAAATGAAAGGGATCTGCGCTGTTTAATATCAGTACTGCAGACTGCATCGGTTGAGCGAAGTTGCATTGATTTCATTACACAACGTTTTCACCCGGTGAGCTGAGGTCAGGGATGTTGGACTCCAGGGTGAGTGGTTTCATGGTTCTTGTCTGCAGGCAGGAACCATCGCTCCTTATTAAAGGCGTGTGAATGCTTACCAGTCAAACTCACTCCAGGGATGGGACGATGATGAGTTGTGTTTGGTGCAGTTAACCCCACCAACGCTGCGTTGGGCGAAACAAGCATAATAAACCATAAAAATAAAGAAATGGGCAAAATGTCCCTGACAGACACTTGCCACTAAAAGTAGACCAACATGCTGCTCAACGCAAATATCAAGTTTACTTTCCTGACTGCACCATCACCACTTCTCTTCTCTCCTTTACACTGTCATCTCATTTATTGGTGCTCCTGCGACTGCTGACAGGCCCTCGCAGTAACAGAGACTTTGTTTCACCTTATTAATCCCCGTGTTATTGGCATTTCCCTCACCAGTCTCGTCTCTCCTCCTGTGGGTTGTCAAGCAATACTCTGACGATGTAGAGGAGGCAGCTCAGCACTTTTAGAGCAAAGTTAAACATTCGCACTCGCAGACCTGCAACCACAAAAGAAACGGACTTTGAGAATTTATGCACAGACATCTTTAATGAATGAAAAACAAAACGAACCCGACTGATTATCCAATTTAATGGCTTAGGGCTAAAATAAATTATGTTTAATCCTGATCACTAGACACAGATATATTAAGACCAGCTCAAAGAAAGGACAAGCTGAGAAGCAGATGATGAAATGCAGAGCAAGAGTATAACATCGCTTTGCACACTGAAAATGAAACATGGCTCTTCAACCAGAAAGATGCTGAGACAAAACCAGAGAACAGCCGTCAAACTCCACACGGAGAATGTGGCGGACAGACAACTTACTAGATCTTTGGTTTTTGATGAAGAAGAGCTTGAGGCGCTCCTTGAAAGTGTTCTCATTCACGTAGAACTCCACCTGCACCCTAAAAGAGAGGACAGTCAGTAAGAGAGGGATGAGGATAACGATGGTGCAGGAGAAGAATGAGGAGAAGTAAACAAAGTCGCTCCAGGTGTCGGAGGCCGGCGAACGCTCCTTTTATAGAGTCAACAGGCAGAAGTGAGGAAAACGGGAACGCTGAAGGATTAAAAAAGCTAAAGTGAAGTAAGAAAGGTGATAATGTCATTTGAACAGAAAAGAATGAAGATGATGGTACATTGAAGACTAATAGGTATTGGAGGAAATGCTGCTCCTGCTTGTGCGCCTGCCCAAAGGCCCAGACAGCTGCAGTCACTCTCGTTATCTCCACTGATTAAATATAGAGCAACAAATTACTTCCCTCTGATGTTTCTGCTGAACATGGGGAGGCCGTAATTACTGCTCTTTCTGCTTTTGCAGCTCGGCCCCCTTCTGTTCAGAGGGGGACACACACACGCACACACGCACGCACACACACAAGTCTATAATACACACCTAGGTAAAAGAGAGCTGGTCAGGCAGGGAGAGATATGAAGGGAATTACAAAGAGATCTGTCTCTGACAGCTCATACTTGTGCCTACGTTTGTGGATACATAATGAGACAGACTAAAGGTGACTGTATTTCCTGTCAGACCACCTCGGGGGGAGGGCGAATTTTCTGTAGCTCTCTTTTTATTGCATGGAAGGAAGAGTGGATGACTCAAGCCAGGGATGAAGCACACCTGACCTGTCACGCTGCTGGTCTCCTTACAACAAAGAAAGATAAAAGGGAGGCAGAACAACTGCTGCCTATTCTTCTGGATGCAGGAAGTGGTGAGAGGTGTGTGTGTGTGTGTGTGTGTGTGTGTTTTAGTTGTGATTTATACATGTTAGGCCATGCAGATTATTTGTAGGGTTAATTTGAAATCACCACACACACACACACACACACACACACACACACACACACACACACACACACATGCACACACATGCACACACACACACACACACACACACACACACACACACACACACACACACACACACACACACACACACACACACACACACACCTTCTGAGCAACATTAAATAAAGGTTGTGGGGTAACTTTCCTTTGTTACTATGGCAACGTTGAATTCATTGTCTTTTCCTTCATTCTCACAGGAGCAGATGTGTGCAAACACATTTTTGTGAACTGTGTTCAGCCACTGTAGCTGATGGCCCCGCTGCAACTTGTCGGCGGCTCCCTTCGCTCTGAGCAGATTGGTGACAGAAATGCTTTTGCACACATGATGAGAAACAAAAAAGAAGACACATCTGCACAGACCCCTGCCATGATTGATGTCAAGTTGTTGTTATTGTTGTTGTTAGCCTCAAGGGCAACATGCCGATTATACCTTGTAAGTCGCTTTGGACCAAAGCTTCTGCTAAATACATAAACATAAACATAGAGCAGCCCAGTGGTTTGTGTCTTTTAAAACTTGTATTGAAATCAACATAGATCATGAACGCTTCAAGAATTATTCTTCAAATATTTAAAAAATATTGACATTCAGTTAGCATGAGGAGAATTCAAACACCACATTTAGATAATTTGGTCTTATATATTTATATGCACCACCTGGCCAAAAAAAAGTCGCCACCTGAATTTAACTAAGCAAATAGGTACGCGCCTCCTATTGGATAATTACTGCATGGGCGATTATCTTTCAGCTGGCAACAAGTTACCCCAAAACTCCACTACCTCCGCTGCGCTCCGCTCCGGCACGAACTCCGCAGCAAAATCGATCCCGTTGAAGTCAATCAGAGCTGCTCCACTACTGCGGCCGTGCGGTGCAGTGCGCCGCCCGCCATTCCACCATCCTCCGCAGTCAATGGACAGGAATCACAACCGCCCAACAGGAAAGGGAGCAAGCACAACTTCCATTATTTCACAATCAATCGATAAACAAAAAGCGTTTTTTGTTTCATATGCACAGGTTTAACAACTTTTAACAACTATCAATGGCGGCTGAAGTTTAAATGCACAAAAGTAAGCCATAAATACAGTTTCCACTATCAAAGTAGTCACACTTTGTTGATCCAAACACTGCTGATCTCTCAACACAAATGATGGGCAGATTAAACAGTTCATGTCGATGCTTCTCCCACACAACGGGTGTTTGGATCTAACTTCCGCGTTTATTGCTCGGACTGTATCGCAAGATCTCGAAAATCCCGCACATGCCTGTTTGCCCACCTCAGGTCTCCGCACCGGAGCGGAGCCGTTGTAGAGCGGGTACCAGTAAAAACTGAGTTCGGAAGCGAGCGGCAGCGGAAAGCGGGTGCGGAGCGGAGGTAGTGGAATTTTGGGGTTACAGTGCTCAGCATAAATAAGTACTCGTCACTACATTTGTCAGAAAACCTTTAATTTCCTTCCAGAATCAACTTTTGCTATGAGATACCAAAACACTCCTACAAATGTGGGCCATTGATGTTGCACAAACAAAAAAAAGTGAGTTTCCAAACAAATCCATGTTGCTAAACTGTGCACACCCCAAATATAGTCTTAGGAGCAAAGTCACACTTAAAGATGTGAGGCAAAATTCGTTGCTCTTTCAAAAATTCCTTTGAACTTCATGTGTAAAGAAGTATTAGAACCTCAGATGAAGAGAGTTCTTGATTTTTCAGCTGGATTATTAAGAATATCTGGTGTTTTTGACTGGTGCTGGAAAAACAGAAACTAGCTTCCGGTCTAAGCCCTGAGCAGCTGGTCGCGTTTCACATGAAAGCTCTGCTGAAACCGCTATAGTAAACAACTCCCGACTCCGGTGCATCTGCGTTAGCGTTGTAGCAGAGAACAATGCGTCATCAGTCAGATGTAGCTGCGGAAGCCTCTGATAGTCGGTCAGATAGGGTTTTACTCTGGTGTATGGTGACCAGAACGGATTACTCCAGAAGTTCAACCGAACTCCGACCCGCTAGCTGGATATCACTACCGGAGGTGCAGACATGTTTTAGACCGTTTGACTCAGAAGACCCACGACCTGATTTGGACACCGGGGAGGATTTTGCTCATCTTCAGCAGAACCAAAATTGCTAAAGTTTGTTTACTTTTGTTAAATATTTACTTTCTGTGCTCCACCGGGAGCTCTAAGCTGGCAAGTTCTCAGCTGGTCTTTTTATTTATTTATTTTTCTTTTCTTTATTTCATTCAAAATAAAAACAAATAAAACATATAAACAATAAGAAATACATAACAAAAAATCTAATTTGAACGAAAAGAAGCAGAATGAAGAAAAACATCTTATAATTTCTGCCCCCTTTTCCAGAAGAACTAATCAATTTATATCCCATTTCCATTTGTCAGACACACATACAGATTCATTTAAAACGTTTTCCTGTTCTTAATTCCAGTGCCATCATGATCATTGATTTAATTAACATTTTCATAATTATTTAGTACACTCAGTTTGGTACACATTTTGAATATATTAAATGACAGAGTGTTTTTAATTTCCTTTTTAAGATTATTCCATAATTTAACACCATTTACAGATATATTCCACTCCTTAATTTAGTAGTCTTAGCTCCATCATGTGTCCCAATATAATTCAGTAATCTACAGATAAATTAAATAATGTGCTGCCAGATTTACCGCTGCATGTATTTATTGATACAACTCTGGAAAATATTTAACCAATAGCTTACCAGACTACATCTTCCAGATGCTGGAGTAACTCCTTAGCTTGACTCGTTTGCACTAATCCAGGATGGCACGGAGGTTCTACTGGTCCATGGAGGATCTACTGCTGAAATATGGGGATCATCTTTTAGATCATATCTGTGTGTGTGTGTGTGTGTGTGTGTGTGTGTGTGTGTGTGTGTGTGTGTGTGTGTGTGTGTGTGTGTGTGTGTGTGTGTGTGTGTGTGTGTGTGTGTGTTAGCCTTCCCAAATGACTTGTTTTTTTCCTTACCGGAGCTAACACGGTAACCAGTGTTACTGCAGTCATGCTAACGGGACTCGTCTGGAGTCCAGAAGTACCCGGGCTGTTCCAGATGGGTTTATAGATGTAGGTTATTATTTTAGATCAGACCTATGTTATTTAAAAATGCGTGTAGGGCACAAACATGAGGACCACACCTTTTGCTGCAGCTAGAAACGCAACTTTCTGTAATAATTAAGAGCACAAAAGTAAACAAATAACAGTTATTCACAGTACTTGCAACAGCAGCTGCCTTGTTTTACGTGTTGGAGTGACGTATACGAAACACAGTTCTTCACTGTCTGGAGGAGAGGATTTGGATTTTCTGTAATGATTTATGACAAAAGTCCTCAACACAATGAAAAACTGAACCCAGCTCATATTTATATAGATGGTAAAGTGTAGTTATACTGCATTTCTACAAATTTAATGCAGAGTCTGGCAAATACCTTTGAGACTACAAATTTCAAATTAACAGACATTCAATCACAGGTGAGTCTAATGATTCATTTAAGATGTGTCCAGCGGACAGGTGACTATAAAAGAGCATTACTTAACAAAGAAAAGCTCTTCCCATTTCATGCTGTCAGCAGTAGTTCCACATGGAATAGAAATGTCACAATAATCTGAGAAAGGAAATATTTTCTTTACACAAAAAAAGGTGAGGGCTACAAGAAGATTAGCAAAGCTTTACAAATCAGTTAAACTACTGTAGCCATCTTACAGAAACATCCAGGCCGTCCACAAAAGTTAACATCTCGACAGGAGTGTCTTCTGAAGAGAAGGGTTGAAGAAATTCACCATGCAACTTCACTGCGGTTAGCTAAAGCAGTAGAAAGCCAAACTGGAGTGACCGTTTCCCATGACACCATACGGCGCACAGTGCAGAAGAGTGGCATGCATGCGTATCGTCCATGAAGGAAGCCTCTCCTAAAGCCCATGCACACAAAAGCACGCCTAGGATTTGCTGTAGAACCCATGCTGAAAGAAATGAAGACTACCGGGTCTCTGGAGTGATGAGACAAACTGGATCATTGTTTTTGAACTAATAGTATCAAAACTGTATGGAGTTGTAAAGGTGAGGATTTCATAGAGAAATGTATGGTGCCTACAGTGAAACATGGTGGTGGTGGAGACCTTATGTGGGGCGGCATGAGTGCTGCTGGTGTTGGGGAGCTGCATTTCACTGATGGTATCAATTCAATTCAAGTTTATTTATATAGCGGCAAATCACGACAAGAGTCGTCCCAAAGCACTTCACATGGTAAACACTCCAATACAGGTCAGTTCATTAAGCCAGTCAGTAAAAGTTTCCCATATAAGGAACCCAGCAGGTTGCATCAAGTCACTGACTAGTGTCAGAGTCTTTACAGCAATCCTCATGCTAAGCAAGCGTCCTGGCTCAGTATAAGCAGCCATCCTCCACGACTCACTGGGGATGGAGAAGACAGAGCCGACACACACACACACACACAAACACACACACCTCTCTCACCACTTCCTGCATCCAGAAGAATGCAGGACATATATACCGAGTAGTGTATGGTTACGTTGTGATTTTTTAGTAAATATTCTATTCCTAGTGAATCTATAATTAAACGGGTAAACTAGTAGTAGCTAGGGGCTGCATGACTTAACTTTTTTTAAAGTGGAGAGTCAAGTAATGAAAATTGAGTCGACTTTGACTAGTCGTTGATGACGTCATACACCTGAAGCGGCGCGGGGGGGTCGGTTGGTTCGCTGGAGTTTTTTTTGACGATTAAAATTGCGCCCACATTTTCAAACTTAAACACATTTCTTTTAACAACGGTAGTTTCTGCTTCAGCCCTCTCCCCCCTCCCCCTGCTTCAGCCCTCTCCCCCCTCCCCCTGCACAGTGGCTGCAAACTCACTGATGCGCCTGCAGCCTCTCGGAGTTCCTGCTGCTCTAAACATTAAAATAATTATTTCATTTTCTGTTCCTCACTTCTGATTACCTTCAGTGGTGTCTGTTTGTTGCAACCAGCAGGTACAAAAACTAACTTGTTTTTATTTGACTATTTTTCTGTCCTGCCTGTTTATTATCTTCCTGCATCTCCTCTCAATCCTAAAGAGAAACTGCTACATGGCTTCATATATATTCACCTTATGAGTTACCTTTGAACTGCAGTTCTAAAATATCTACCGACCGCAAAAACAGCGGAGTGCTCGCTGGCCGCACCGGTGAGGTGGGTCACCGGAGGACAAGGTGATGCTCCGCTCCACAGCAGCAAAACGCATCAGGCACAAATAAAAGAATAAAAGACAGAAAACATGAAAGGATATGAGCCGACATGAACGATCGCGTGTTAAATTAGTTTTTGAGGTGGCGACACCTAACTTGATAATGTTACTGTGGCCGTGCTCAGGACGCAGATGTCTGGAGCGCGTCAACAATCAGAGCTTTGCATGTGCAAGCTGGTTAAGGTTAGGATGGGGGTGAGGGGAAGGTTAAATTGCAAGAGGGTAAAGGTCACAATTTGGTTAATTGTCCGTTTTACGGCGGGTGTCAGTGCCGATGCTCTGGCACAGCGCGTCGCTTCCCAACGCGCAGGAGCTTGTCACCTGCTGACAGCAGGCTGCTGTCTTTTCCGTGGACTGCATCTTGCCGGTCATTATCACATGACAGCGACTAGTCAATGACAAGCATAAAAAGTCACTACAGAGCAGTGAGGTTGACTAGTCGACTAGTTCATATAACCCCTAGTAGTAGCACATTCAATGTCAAAGAGAGTAAAGTGTTATTGTCAGGAGAGGGAGAATGTTTAAGTGGTTAGCAGCAGTGTTCAAGCTGATGGCCCCCTCCATGAGGCCACCACTGAGATGAGGCTACCACAGCTCAGTGGTGGCCTCATGATTTATGTCAGTATGTTGTAAGAAATGTATGAACTCAACAATGTACTGCTCTATACTGAGGGAGATGATGCTGCCATCACTCTGTGCACTTTTCCAACACAATGATCCAAAACCACATCTAAAGCTAATGTTGCACCTCTGAAGAAGAACAGGTCGAAGGTGACTGAATGGCCAAGTATGTCTCCTGAGCTGAGCCCAATCAAACACTGGTGGGGAAATCTAAAGTAGCAAACTGAGCATCACTCTCCATCCAGCATCCAGGCTCTAAAAGAGGTTATTATCTATCATCTATCCATCTATCTATTTATCTATCTATCCATCTGCCTGCCTGCACTGTGTCCGTCTGTCTGCACTGTCCGTCTATCTGTCGGGGACTTGCACAAACCAGCCAGAGAAGCACTGCTGATGAGTCTGAAAACTCCATTTTATTTTGGAGAAGCTTCAAAATTAACATGAACTTAACCTAATCAATGTAAATTAGTCAGAATGACACCAGCACAAGACACACTATCACATTTCAGACACACCAGGTTCAACTTAAATAGTGGCTGATCAGACCACTCTACAAACAAGAGGGGAACATTCAACATACAATTAACACACACACACACATCCTCACACACACACATCCTCACACACACAAACCAACCAGTCTAATCAATTCAGGTAACTCAAATAACTACCATAATTACAAACTCCCTATCCATAACAGAAAACATTGCATTAAATTAAACACAAGCATAAACATGAATCTCCCCTCCCTTGGGAGTAGGTAGATCCCAGCAGTGCTGATTAGGCTTCCTGAGGAGATGAGCTGCAGGTGTGAGACTCCATGGGCAACTCCAAGTCACTGGTAACTCAAATAGAAGTACAACATTAACACATGCATTCATAAACAGAAGACTGATTGTGTGCACATCAACCAGTCATCCTGGACAGAACACAGAAAACAAACATTACCAGAAGGCCGTGTCCCTGAGGTGACACTGCAGTCACAGTCCCCCCTCCTTAAGAGTCCACACCGCACGAGCGGGAAAGGTAATCAGCCATAACATTCTTCCTGCCCGGCACATGTTGAACTGTGAAACAAAAAGGCTGCAGCACTAAGGCCCATAGGGTTACGCGGCTGTTAGTGTCCCTCATACGGTATAGCCACTGCAAAGCCTTATGGTCAGTCTGCGAAACAAATTCCCTGCCAAGGAGGTAGAACTTCAGAGAGTCCAAAGCCCACTTAATGGCCCAGGCCTCCTTCTCCACCGCTGAATATTTCACCTCCCTTGGGAACAACTTACGGCTAATAAAAGCCACTGGATGCAGATTCTCGTGACCTTGGAGGATGTTACGGTTGCCAGTCTGACCAGTGAAGAGCAGGAGCCAGGATCACCCAGCTCTAGTGAAACAGCCTGACACCGCCCCTCCTCCTCCTCCTCCTCTCTCCCGGCTGCTGAGGAGCACAGCTGAACTGAATCTACCTGATGAGTCAACACCTGTATAAAAAGGCTGTGCCCTCAGCAGTCTGGGAGGCAGCAGTGATGGAGGTTCCATACAGTGTTGCTGGGGTGAAATCAGTTATTAGACAGCAGATTCTGGATGAATGGCAAGAACAATGGATAAGGGATGTGAAAGGAAGACATTTATACAAATTAAAGGGAATGGTTGGAAGAATGGAAATCATTCAAATGAGTAACAGAAATCAAGCATTATAACAAGGATGAGACTGGGACATACAGCTTTGAACAGTAGGATGTGTGACTGTGGACTTGATAGGGAAACAGTAGAACATGTATTAAGTGCTTGTAGGAAATATGTGGTAATAGGAAACTGTTGGTTAAAAAATTGAAAGTTAAAGGATATAAGGAATTTGAGTTGGGTATTCTGTTAAATGGTGGACTAGTGGTGTATAAGTTAGTCATAGACTATTTAAGAATTTAGTTTTTTTTTTTAAAGTAGGATACTCCCCACTTCGACTCACACTCCCATTCAGTAGGTGGCGGAAATGCACCTGAAAGTTGGTTGCCACCCGCCATTAAAGAAGAAGAAGAAGTCTGGGAGGCAGCAGTGCAGGGGTTCTGCTGTCCTCCAGATTTTGTTTTGTTTCAACCCCTTTTCGTTTGGATTTGTTTGAGTTTTAAACTTTGGTAGTTTTTAACTCTTAGTGAGAAGTTGTGGATGATCCAGTGGCATCTTTTGTGTTCAGGTTTTAAAAGGTTAACTTTGTTTTAGGCAATTTTACTGACCTCGGTTTTAAAACACCTTCGTTGTGGTAAAGCTTTTTAATATAAGTTTTTACCAGGTGTTTTTATAGCTGATAATTTGCTGTGTAATGTTAACCTTTTTCAGAGTTTTAGAGAGTTCTGTTGGTTTTGCATTATTTTAATAATGCACCGTTGTCTGTTTGTGTTTTTTAACTATCTATCTACATAAATAGTAACTCAGTGTTTGTTCTACATAGGCTCAGGCCAGTGACATGCAATGAGGTTCATGACTGGGGAGGCAATGACTGCTCTGGAGTCAGCCTTACAAATATATGATCCTGAAATAGAAGCTTTTATTTTGTTTTTGACCTTGAATGAAATATTTTGTTGATTTAAAACTCAAGATTTAATTAATTTCACACTATTTAACTAACAAGAAAAGTAAAATAAAATTTATTATTGGGGCAAATTTTAATTAAAAATGTATTCTTGGCATAGCTCTTTCATTACAGATGAAAATCGTGCATGATCTTACCTTTACGTGTTTCTGAAGTCCAGGAACCTGACTTCTCCATCACTCTGCTGTAAAAACCATCCACTGTTATGACCTGTTCTGACTGAAAATCCAGTTTAAATAAATCCTTCAGTTGTCGGCTCCACACCCCCGCCCTGTGTGTGTACAAGCAGCCAGTTTGCACTGGTGTCTATTGGGCTCAGCACTGCCCCTATCAGTGAGGCAGGGTACTACCTGCTTCCCCCATGCATTTTTACTGAGAGTGTATAGAGCTCCGGACCCCACGTGACTCTCAGTCGGGGCGGAGCTTGATATGTGCAACATGTGCGGCCGAACAGGGCGGCAGTCTGGAGGGGGCGGCATTTAGGCTAGCTCTGCCTCTGCTCTCAGTTAGTAGACGCCATATTGGCAGGAAAAAAAGGTAAACAAACACGGATCATGAACATGAACGGGATCAGCTTGGATTTTACTTCGTCGGAGTTTACTTCACACTTTAAAACCAAAGAAATCGTTTTATATAGTCAGAAATTAAATAGACTAAACATCTCCGACCCTTACCGTGCCCCGCCAGAAGCTGTCGGAGCGGACTTCTTACCGGACCTGGCTGGGGAACCCCTTGGGATTTCCCCCGGAGGAGCTGGCCCAAGTGGCTGGGGAGAGGGGTGTGGGCCTCTCGACGCTACTGCCCCCGTAACCCGACTCCGGATAAGCGGATGAAAATGGATGGAAGGATGGACAAATAACAGATTTACACGTAAGTAGTTTAAATAGAGTGCTGTGCTGTTTGAATGTATAAACTGAACGCCAAGAGAAATCACTAGTTTGATTGTTTTCCGTGAATAACATAAATATGTCAGGCAGGAGCGTCTCAGGATCTGTCTGAGATCCGTCTCGGTGAGACCGATAATAGCAATCCAAAGTGCTTTTTATGTGTGATCTGACAACTGATCAACCATTGCTTAAAAGTTAAATACAGCTTAGCCGGTTAATTGCTGTGATCATAAAACACGTAAACGGCAGCACGCAGAACTCACGAGGCAACGTTTTACGTGATGTTTACTTGTTGCTATGAGTAATAAGACAGAAAAAGCCACGCCAAAATAAGTTTAGGAAGCCCACTAAGAATTGTAATAAAAGCATTTAAAATAAATACCATACACAGTTGAGGAAACGTTGGTTTAAGTACCTGATATGAAGCGATCGCTGCATAAGTGAAAACCTTTACTCTCGGGGTCCCACAGTTTCATTTTAGCCCGGTCACTAGTGCGTTTTATTACAATGATCCAACGTTTGCGGCGCTCCGGATCTTGGGGAATCCTGTAGAAGGCTCATTCCTTATGTCGTCCGCTTCTGTTCTGCATCCTGGGGCACAACAGGAATCTACCATATTTCCCATCTGATTGAGTTTTCTGACAATAACAAATAGTCCAGCTGCAGGCTTCTGCCTGCCAATATGGCGCCGTTTCGATTTGAACTGTTGCATGCCGGGAGAAGTGACGTCAACTCCGGGAGCTCTATAGCCGCTCAGAACGACTAAATTAGTCACACACCGTGATTAAATGTGTTAAACAGACTGTAAAATGTCACCATGTGCAGCAAATGTGAAATAAAACATGTATGTTGGCAATATAAAGACAGAAAGCAGTGAGCATGCGCCAACTTCCTATTTCAGTGAGTGTGTGCAGTTTCTTTGACTCCCGTCTCGCGTCTGCATGTATATTTAATCAGATAATAGGTAAATTCAGCTATTTTGCTATAAACATGATGAAATCATACAGAAAAATAATGTACAAAGTCACTGGATACACTGACTTTATATATTAAATCATTATTCGTATACGGATATTAGTCCCTTCCCTGCCTCCTATGACCGCACGTCACTGGCTCAGGCATGGCGTCGCGCCCCTGCTGAAATTGTAGCGCCACAACTACAAAATCCCCAGCCCAGCCACAACCAGGTCAAAATTACAGAGTCCCTTCTCTCACAAATGAGGTCCAACCTTCGACTGTCTACCAAGTGTTGCAGCTCATAGAAGGCCTGCCCAGTAGCCCCCCCTCCATCCCAAGAGGCCTGCTAAAACTCTAAACTCCACTCCTAAGTCCACATCCTGCCTCCCCAGTGCACCCTTAGCCACAGCATCCTCCTACTTGTTGCTCTCCACGCCCACGTGAGCCGGAACCCAAACAACTTCACATCCGAACTTATGCAGCAACAACCTGACGGAAGGCAGCAGGTCAGGCTGAGACCTGGAATGCAGCACTTCCAGCGTGTGTGTGTGTGTGTGTGTGTGTGTGTGTGTGTGTGTGTGTGTGTACTACACTGTATCTAGTTTAGGTACGGTAATTTCTCTTTTACCTTCTTTTGTAATACGTCAAGATTTTTATGAACCAGGAAAAGATTTGTATCATCTGCAAAGATGACCTTATTAAGGAGGTTTGATGAATTTTAAATATAATTTTTATATAAGATGAAAAGAAGTGGACCCAGTTTGAAGCCTTGGGGAATTCCACATCTGATCTTTGCACGGTGGCAATGACTGTTTTTTATTAGGACAAATTGCAACCTGTCAGGTAACTTCTAAACTTGATGACTGTGTTCCTCTGACACCTTCATGTTTGCAACTTTCCAATAAACATTTCCAAATCAATGGTGTCAAAAACGTATGACAAATCTAAAAACACTCCAATTCCATTCTCACCTTTATCTTTGGCATCATTGATTTTTTATAACAAGATCCAGAATTGCACTGCCGGCGGAGCTCTTTTTGCTAAAGCCATATTTAGCTGGAGTTAGCATGTTTGTTCAGATAGCCACTAAGTCTATTGTACACAACTTTCTCAAACACCTTAGAAACGGTTGATAAGATAGACATGGGTCAATAGTTTTGTAAGTTGTTTTGGCATCAGATTTACAAATTGGTAGGATTTTGCGAGCTTTGTCATTTTTGGTATAACACCAGCAGATCTAGGATATCAAGTTCTATATATTTAACACTTTTTCTACATATATAAACATATATTTATTTATTTGACAGATGCTTTTATCTAAAACAACTTAAAACTGAGAATTCAGCAAAGCAGTTTATAGTCGATGAACCTAACCTAATATTTTTGGTCTGTATGAAATTGACAGGATTGCAGTCGGATTTTGAACCTGTGACCTTCCTGCTGTGAGGCACTCATGCTAATAACTGTGCCCCCAATGCAGCATTGTACAAATGTGTGTTGCTGCAGTTGCTTTTTAGCTGTGCTGTATTTCTCATAGAAATATTTTTGTACTGAAATGTTATCCACATAAAAAAACTGCATATACTTTAATGTTTTCTTTATTTCAGAGTACTGTCTTTTTCTACAACCTCATCCATCAGAAACAGCACTGAGCCATCTTATGATGAAAGTATTCAGTTTTGTGTCATATCTCCGGTTTGTTTTTGTGTCTTCTTTATAGCTTCAGGGTTTTTTAGGTGACTTATATGCCTAAAACCAGACATCTGTGCATTTTTTTCATTCCTCAAAGCCTCTTCAAACTTTGAGAGTTAAAGATGTGTTGACAACTCAGCAGGAGATGATCTTAGAGGTCATTCTGCCCTTTTGTGCTGTTTAAGGGAGCTGTTTCAATACAAAAAGATGAAGGTTAAAGTGAAAATGCATCCTCTTAAAGAGCTGAGCCAATGATGAATTTAGAAGTTCAGCTAAAGAGGGAGGGTGGTGAACAAAAACACACGTAACAGATCCATAAGCATCATTATTCCCAAACAAGAAGCACACAAGAACATTGCAGCGGTTCCCAATCAAGATAAATGTCTTCACTGGGGGTTATAATGTTCTCTTAATAGTCATCCAAACTGTGATTTTACCAAACAAAATATCTGGAACGGATTTGTTCATTAGAACATGCCACATTTCCTACAGGAAACAACATAACTTGTAAAAAAAAAAAAAAACACCTGCATTTGATATGAAACCTGTGCCAGGAGGAGTACATCAGCATTTGCATGCATCAGTGTGAAAAAGAGAGACTGGCAAAAGGTACAGAGATAAGACGACACAGACGGATGGACAGACGGACAGAAGGGGACATGCGGAGGAGGATCTTAGAGAGGGAGAGTGATTGCTGAACCTTGTTCTCCTGCTCCTTCCACCCATGCCTTCGCTCCATAATGACACAGCACTGGCCATTTAATGACACAGTGGAAAGGATGAAAGAAACACATATCGACGCATGTACGGCAGCACAGCACTTAGCATGCTAATTTGGATGGAAATTAACAGAATCTAGCTAATACTGAGAAGCAGTCTAAATAATTCTAGATGAATACACAATTTATTTTATTTAAATGTTAGAACGAAAATATGGAACACAATCCTGGGAAAACATATCTGAAAACTGACTGCTTCAGCATCCGGTTCTGAAAATTTCTCCATGACAGCCTGGCTGCAAGGGAATTACAGAATCCCCAAATACTTTCAAACTCAATCCAATTCCTCTTTCTGATGGGCAATAAGCCCTTAGGCACGTCCGTTCTCTTCAGTTTTCCTGGCATAGCGTGCACTTTCTATGGTGTATGTCAAAAATGCTTTTGCATTTTACAGAAGTTCAAAGAACAACTGACTTTAGATTAATATTGTAAAGAGATCAAATCTAACAGAAGACAAATAGTTTGTGTGAAATGTAATAATTCTACCACACACTGTGGGATTCCTCAAGGATCTACCCTCAAACCTCTTTTATTATTTATATCAATGATTAATCAGATCGGACAGACCTTTTAGTCTGGGTAACCCCTAAGCTAGCACAGCTTCAGTTATAAGTCAGAGGCAGGAGGCTTGGGGTCCAGGATTCATCCCAGCAAAGATGATATGAAACCAGGGGTTGCAAAACCTTCCAAAAGTAGCTAATATGTTTTCCACAGGTCTGGAAATACGTAGGTACTATGCAGACTCAATTTCTACCTAGAAACCATATTTAAATTCCAGCTTTGTGATAAAAAGTCTGGTGGTTTTGATTCTAACCAAAGGAGGTTTGTGAACAAAAGTATATTCTTAATTTGTTCTCAATTTCATGAGTGATCAAATTACATAACCACAAATAAAATATGAATATCTGTACCCTCTTGTGGTGGCCTCATGGAGGGGGCCATCGGCTTGAACACTGCTGCTAACCACTTAAACATTCTCCCTCTCCTGATAATAACACTTTACTCTCTTTGACATTGAATGTGCTACTACTAGTTTACCCGTTTAATTATAGATTCACTAGGATAAATACAATAAAGTTTATCTCTCACCAAATAGAATATTTACTTAGAAACCACAATGTAACCATAGAAACATTACTTGGTATATATGTTGTGTGTGTGTGTGTGTGTGTGTGTGTGTGTGTGTGTGTGTGTGTGTGTGTGTGTGTGTGTGTGTGTGTGTGCGTGTGTGTGTGTGCCTGCTCTGTCTTCATCCCCAGTGAGTCGTGGAGGATGGCTGCTTATACTGAGCCAGGTTCCTCTGGAGGTTTCTTCCTGTTAAAAGGGAGTTTTCCTCTCCACTGTCGCTAAATGCTTGCTTAGTATGAGGATTGCTGTAAACACTCTGACACTAGTCAGTGACTCGATGCAACCTGCTGGGTTCCTTATATAGGAAACTTTTTACTGATTGGGTTAATGAACTGACCTGTATTGGATTGTTTACTGTGTGAAGTGCCTTGAGACAACTCTTGTCATGATTTGGCGCTTTAGAAATAATATCGATTTGAATTACTTGGTCAAAAAGTTTGTGGGTCTTTATGAGATTTTCCACATCTTGTTTGGTAAGCAGTCATGACTTCATGTGACTGGACAGTCATTCAGATAAAGGCCGACCTGGCTGCTCAACCTCTGTGTGAAAGAACAATGATGTGACATCTCTATATAGAGAACCACTGGCCACCAGTACATCACACATCCCCACAGCGGATGTTCAAAAATCTTCAAAGAGTCAAGGTGTCCTCCCCTTCATCCAGCCGGGAGCTGAGAGGACAAACTGTTCCCGACCCAGATTCACAACCGTCACACACACAGGAGAGAAAATGACAACAGGGGGAAAAGATTGAGAACACGTGTATCACAAAACATTCATTTTTATTTTTGGGACTTTAATGTGAGTTTTCGACTAGCATTTCAAATACGCTTGTTCTTGTCACAAAATTGATTTTTACACTCCACTGCAGCAGACGAGTACTTTCATTGTGCATAATTATGACTGAGGCATTTAGGGAGTCAGTTATTCAGTCCCTTCAACTGTGTTGATTAGCTAAAGGAAAAGAAAAAACAATGGTCTTATGACTCGTCTGAAGGATAATGAAAAACACTTGTTGATTTGGTGAAACTGTGTTTTCTGGCTGTTTGGACCTAAAACAGCTAAAATAAAACAACAATAATATATCTTGTATCTTTTGTTTCCATCATGAAACTAAATAGGGCTTGACTTTATGCACAGCTCCATTAAAACCCCCTTCTCCTCTCTTCTTCTCCCTATCCCTGCAGACTTCGTTAACTCCATTTATCCTCAGACATTAAACATTTGATTAGATCAATGTGAGATATTCATCTCATTTCCCACAGTGGTCTTCAAATCAGTTTTCTGAGGATGAAGTTATGTGCAGAAGGATTGAAACATGAGAGGAAATCTCTCTACTTTCAATCTCTGGTGTCTTTTTTTGGAATTGAAAGACATCTTTTGTTACCTCCTTATATTTGCACTTTAATCACACAAAAAAGTGTTGATTCCCATTCTTTAAGGTCTAACGATCAGTTGCTACTTTCTGTTCCTTTTGCTCGCACACAGTTAGGAAAGAGAGCCTTCGCCTGCTCTGCTCCTTCTGCTTGGAACCAGCTGCAGAAAACCTGGAAAATGACTGAGCAGGTTTCACTAAATGCCATTAAAACCAAACTGAAAGCTTCAGAGACTGCATTAGTAACTTGTAACTGCTTTTAATGATCGAGTGTTTTATCATTGTCATTATGTTGTAACTGTTTGTATTTTTTGCTGCCTCTTGGCCAGGACACCCTTGTAAAAGAGGTTCTTAACCTCAATGGGTCTCTATCCTGGTTAAATAAAGTTTAAATAAAAAATCTTCTTTGGCGTTAAAGGTTAACTCGTTTGTTGGAATAAAACTGCATAACACATGATCACAGCATCTCTCTGCCTTAGTCTGATGGCTTTGATCTTCCAGCTACATGAGGCAGAAGCTAGTTAGCCCCATAGCTTTGTCACCATCCACAAGAAAGAACTCATCGGTTAACTGAGCCCATCTAAAAAGGCCAGTTAAATAATTCTATGTATTTCTCATTATAATCCAGAAGCAGAAAAGCGGCCGTAAAAATATTAAGGACCAGAAAGCTTGAAGACCGGTTCTGCTCTGTTATGGTTCCAGCCTTAGGCTATGGCCGGTTATGAAATTAAACGAGAAAGGGTGAAGCTACTTATGTCAAACGCTATATGTCTCTGTATAATCTAAGTTGTATGGCCAGAGCAAAAAAAAAAAAACCCAATAATAAACCGATCATGTGACCAAACTGTTTCTGCCTTTAGGCAACATCTCCCCTTAAAGCTGCAATGGCAAATCTGGAAAACATGCCTCTGAACAACGCTCTAAGTATAGCCCGAAATATATTGTAAAGATAAAACGAAATGAAAAAAGTTATATTTGTGGTTCTGTTGCATTTATCTAAAAACCTCCACCAATAAGGCGGTTAGGACCGAAAGCAACCACCGAGCTGCTGCACTTCCCTGGGCCCTCCATTCACTACACACTCGCATATGTAGCAACAGAACACAGCTGGTGTGAGAAGTTCTCAGCTCAGTAATATCAGAGAAGGAGAAACAGCCAGCTGCTACCACTTCAACTTTAGGACCAACTACCAAGAGTCCCAAAAAGAAAATCACTATTCGATGTCACAGACAACAAAAGACATTTGGACGTAGAAAACAGCGACTGGTGCTTAGAGCTCTCTGGTTTCCTCTGGTAATGCGGGTTTCCAGTTCCGTTGGATGTGAAAGCGGTGAAGATACCTGAGGGGCGGGGGGCGTGTTCTGTAGATTCGCTAAAGCAACTTTTTAGGGGCAGCAGTAGATCAGGAGGTTGTCCAGTAATCGGAAGGTTGCAGGTTCGATCCCGGCTCCGGACAGAGAATTCTGCTGTTGTGTCCTTGGGCAAGACACTTAACCCACCTTGCCTGCTGGTGGTGGTCGGAGGGACCGGTGGCGCCTGTGCTCGGGAGCCTCGCCTCTGTCAGCGCGCCCCAGGGCAGCTGTGGCTACATCGTAGCTCATCACCATCCGCGTGTGAATGGATGAATGATGCACTGTAGCGTAAAGCCCTTCTGAGTCTTCTGACTCTGAAAAGCGCTGTACAAGTGCGGGTCATTCATCATTAATATTTAAAGTACAGTTCATGGTGTGTGGTTTGTTGGGATTTTTAGCTGCTCTCCATCGTGACCAGCACCAAATAAAAACATGTTACAGTTTTATTTCAGTTTAAATAAAACTTTCACCTTCAACAATAATTAGAACACTATTTTAGATCAGAGTCTTTGGTTTTATTAGACATTTAAAGCCCAGGCCTTCCATCGACCACGCAGATCCTTCAGTTTCTGTTCCTGGTGGGTGTTGTTAAGTAGACTTCAGTCTGGTTTTTTCTACTATGTCAAGATTTGTGCAGGAGTTAAGAGAGGTTTGGTGGTGTTCTTTCTTCGCCTCTTCTCTCACATTCTGAATCAAATCTCATAAGTATCACCTCTTCACATGGAGTTTTGTTCATCGTACAATATTGAAAAGAAAGTCCTCCTGTGAGCTCAGGCTCTGCACAGTCAAAATGAAGCATGATGGCTCCACACTTCTGGACAAAGATTGAAATCAGCTTTTTAAAATGACGAATGATTGAAACCTAAATCGTCTCCGAAAGCCTTGCTGAAACACCGTGAGACGGACGGACATGAATATTGAGTATATTGATGGATCGTGTCGTACACTAGCCTCTCTAGACTAAAACTTGGTATGAGGAGTTAACATGGACGGAGCAAAGATAGGGGGGCTGGTGTAGAGCATAAAAGAAAAAAGATGTGGAGGCGACAACCACTAAGAAATTGTTTTAGGGACAAAAGCCTGTTGTTTGTATGTTAATCCTGGAGCGCTCCAGTGAGGCTGCCGATAGCAGAGCTGTGGAGATTCTGTTGTGTTTCAATCCACTTTTAACAAACTAGTCACACATGAGGTGCTCTGATGGGAGTCGTGTGCGTTCATGGACTGCTATGACATTACTGTCAACCCTGGACCGAACTGAAGACTGCTCTCAACCCTCTGGAGGCAGGCATTGCAGATGTGCAACGTTAAAACGGTTAAAACCTACCTACCTGGTTACGCCACACACGTATCTCATGAGCATTTTTTAACTCAGAAGTTCCCCTGAAGGACTTATTTGTTCGTCCTTTTATCAAAACTTATTTTGAGCCTGAGAGGGTTAAGTGCTGGGACTCAGTTATGTGTGTTACACTGCAATCACAAATATTTTATATAAAATAAGCTCAATGATCAGCAGCAGCCGTCAGGGACAGGAAAAAGGAGTTTCTCTTAGCAAATCCAAAAATCAACAACCAGACAAACTTAATTCAGCATTTTCAGGGTTCACAGAGAGTAATTTAGGTAAAATCCAGACCGCTCTTTCGACTGGCACTACTCTATCAGCCTGGGCATCTTTATTTAATTGTTTAGTCATCTGGCATTTCCTCAAAGCAGAAGCCTCTGACTCACTGGCAGAAATTAAAAATGGAGCTGCTATGAGAAGAACAGGGACCCGGATCTTACAAGTTCTCTGTTTTTGGCTTATTCTGTTAGGGGAGAAGAAATGTTTAAATGCTCAGTGGTGAAAAAACATCAACTCGATCAAAGTTTTCCACGCCAACATCAAACTTTCAGCATCCTTTAACTTGTTCATTAGGTTTGCAGACAAGCAATCCTGCAAACAGTCTTCTTACTTTATTACAATCTCCCAGAATTAAACAAGTATTTAAATGTTATTGACTCTGATTTGTTCATCTGTATGTTCTACACAAAATAAAACAAATGCTGAAAAAGACAGAAGCAGAGGCGGATAAAGGAGTCATGCTGCAGATGCAAGTAAACACCCTTCAAAAGGAAAAGATCCTTCAGTGAGAACTTTTCATGTCGAAAAATCTGTGCTGGAAAAATTCTTCACTTAAAGCCGTTAAAGAGCTCCAGTACAATGGATTGTATACGCTGTGGAGGAAAGTCCCATAACATAAAATAATACAGAAGCCACTTCATTCAGGAGCAAGGAGACAGGGGATAGGGACGGGGCAACTGGTTACTAAGCCCCCCCCCCCCCCCCCCCCCCCACACACACACACACACACCAAGGTCTTTCTCCTGAAGCCGTGCACCCATGTGCCACAGAGATAAGTGTGTGTATGGAGAATGTGATGTTTGCCGGGATTAGCTCTTATGCTGTAAGGAGCAATCCAAGCACCAGCTGGGATGCTGGAAATGAATGAAGTTTCTCCAAGATTTATGGACCATGGCAGATAAACTCTGTGAGATTCAGCTGTAATTAAGTTTCTGTCACCATCAATCACGGTTCCCAATTTCCCTCTAATCAGTCTATTTCATAGCTCCGGATCACTCACCAGGCACTGACATCGACATGTTCAGACTCTGCTTGACCGCTTTTCTGTTACTGACTTCACGTTTGTGGATGAAAGCATGTGTGCATAATAACGCTCAGACTCGAGAAAATATTAGGTAAAAGACAACAAACATGGATGTTAAAATCCAAAAAGATATATTTCCAGTAAAATGTGCTGGGTAGAGAAAAAAACCTAATGAATAAATGAATTTTTTGATATTTCATGAAGTAGTATTAACAAGGGGTGTAAATCAATATCAGATCATTATATTGATACACTCTGAAATTCAGTCACAAAACCATTTGGCTTTGATTTGAATTAGAAAACATGTTTTGACTGTTTTCTCCCGCTCGCCATGACGCAGCGAGCGTCTTCATGTCACATGTTAGATGATGAGCAGGAGCAACAGCATGTCAGCAACATTTCTAAATAAACTATTTTTCTAATTCAAATAGCATTTGATAAAAAGATTTTTTGCATTTTAGATCGATGACCATATAATCCTTGTATCGATGTAGCTCAAACCGAAAAAGTCCCATTTCTATGGGTTTCTGCTCGTTTCAAACCCACATCAGATCCTCCGAGATTCGAATGAGTCATTTTAACCTTTAGTTCTTTTTAAGTTGATTGGTACGTTTGCCACTAATCATCACTTTAGTTATTGATCCACCCTTAGCTTAGTTTTCGGACAGATGGCATCACATAATCACATCACTGTTTAATATGATGCCGAATTCACAGTTGAATCGATGACAGAGCATTCCCTGAGGCGGGAAGGATCTCCAGCTGGTAGGAGCTTTTTCTCTCCCTATTAAACTGATTTTGGTCTGCTTCATACATACAGCTCTGCTCAGCTTTCTTTGTCGTCAGACCAAAGCTGCTCTCTTTCTGTGCAGCTGCTTCCCACCAGCAAACACCTCATGTTTTTCCCAAATCGGTCTCTTCATGATTGTAAAATCCAACTGCTGACGTGTAATCAAAGTTGTGGGCATCTTATTTAAATCAACATGTTTGCAATAAATTTGCACAGATTATATATATATATATATATATATATATATATATATATATATATATATATATATATATATATATATATATATATATATATATATATAAAACACATTTTCTTAGAAGGAAACAATTTGTTTCGAAGAATTTGGAGATTTTTTTTGGATGAAAGCAAACCAAACACATGATTTTAAATAATTCATCCTTGAAAAATGTGAAGAGTTTGAATTAAAGACCAGCACAGCTCGAGGAGGATTTAGTACATGCTTGTTCAAATATGAGGGAAAAGTCAAACAATCCCAAAGGACGGACTTTTTTTCAGCAGCGTGTGTGTGTGTGTGTGTGAGCGTGTGCGTGCGTGCGCAGAATTTGGTATTCTTTAAATGATCAAATTTACAGTTCACAACACACACAACTTTAATTGGCAACTGGATGCCTTCTGAATCCTTGCTGTGACTGACACAAGGGAAGTCTAACAGTAATCCACCATGTTTACAACGCTTCAACACATCTGTGTCACCAACATGCACACAGCACTTCCCAGCTGTCTCAGCAGCTTCCAAACCAAACAGATCATTACTAATGCACCCAACTGAGTCCTACAGGAGAGATCTGGTGAAATCTTTAACTGCACTCAGATCTGCTGTTGTATTTCTTCACTTATAGATCAATGCCATATAGAGCATCCCTCTGTGCCTCCCAGATTACAAGAACCAACGGGCAAAACCTCTGTAATCAGGTGGCTGAGGTCATGCTGCACTGGAACATCAGTCCTTGGGCTATAGCCGGTACATAACAGAAGGCCAAGAGGAGTGCAGGCAGAAAGAGCAGATTGGCTCAGGCTTAAGTTGCATGTCCGAGAGGCTTCCGCAGGTCAGGATGAGACAGAAAACACAGAAACAACAATACTCGATGCAGGCCGCATCCCTGCTGATAACCAGGACTGGTATCCCTTTCAAGTTCCCCCAATTATCTGATTTAAAACACCCACTCAAGTCCACAAGCAAGCAAGTGCTTTGGTCCTCATTTCTACCTAGCAACCAGAGATCAGACATGGAAAGGAGGTTCAAATTTTCCCTTTGAGAAAGACAAAATGAACAAATTAAACAGGGGATTTCATCCAGAACGTCAAATCCACTGCCCTGCAAATGGAGAGTGAGCAAAGGGTAATTGCCAGTTAGGGAGAGCACCCACTTAAATTGTCTGTCTTAGTGGATGTTTCACTGTAAACCTCAGGGAATGTGGCATTGAAAGAGAGAGAGAGAGAGAGAGAGAGAGAGAGAGAGAGAGAGAGAGAGAGAGAGAGAGAGAGAGAGAACGCTTTCCAGCACTCATTCATTTCGCTGCTGAACGACTTTTTGTTCCACATTTTAGTTTGTTATTCAAATTGTTTACGCGAGGAAACAAAATTTGCTCCATTTATTTATCTTGAGCCCACTGATGGCCTTTGGGCTTTTAATGCCTCAGATGTGTACGTAGCCTTGCATTTACAGTTAGCAGCCGTGGTTTCTGCGCGCACCTGTTGCAGCATCCTACATCCCAGCTTCCTACACCTGAAACACCGAGACCACACACAGATGTGACCCGTTACTTTTTCTATTTCAAACTAATGCGATGCTTTGGAGCTTCAGAGATGCGCAGAGTCCATGCGCCGTGCGTAAACGCAACAAACAGCGCCATGATCCTTACCTGTCGTCGCTTTGCCAGTCCCCGAGCAACAGGTCTCGGAACCGGTACCGAGGGGGCAGCGGGAGCACCTCCTTTTCCAGTTCGACCATTGTCCTTAAAACACCGAGACAGAGACAAATCCCGCCGCGACCTGCACCTCCTCCAAACCGAAGAGGTGGTCTACAGACGCTTTCTTTGCCTTCTACTATTCAGAACATAAATTAATAACCAACACGTTGATACGTTTCATGGCGCCGTCTTCTGCTAAGTTCCCCCTAAAGAGAAAATGAACTTATCCCGTTTCTCTGCAGCAGCTGGACTTTCCCTCACGCCGAGGCAACAGGTCGCTCATCCGTCGGTGCGTTTGGGGAGGCTCCACTTTTAGTTTAGTGTAGCAGCTGGAGAGCAACTGGTTGCGTCTCCTACCAGCATCCTCCCTGCCCGCCTGGGCTAAGCTCCGCATGGACGCGCTGACTGCACCGTGAGGGAACAGTGTGCAGGTGCAACACCAGGGACAGAAACAGTCCAGTCACCAGACAACACGCTCAGTTAAAGATGTAAAACAACAAGGAGCGTTTGGTCCGGATGAACATCAGAGTTCCGCCACGCGCGCGACCCCACAAATGCACCCATCACTCAGGAGACGTGCGCACTTCACTTCTAATGGGCTTATCCCGTTATTCTGCACAAGGAGCGTTCTCGTTCTAACTACTGTTAAACCCGTTCTTGTTCAGCTCAAGCAGGAGCGGAGATGAAGTTGTGTTGCAGACAGAATAAGTGGAACAAGACACAAGAACCACTGATTCATGTGCAACGTTTAGATGGTGCATTTTTATTTCATTTAACACGATTCTGCTCGGCTTTCCAGCCGAGCTCTGCTGCGCTCTCATCCATATGCTAAATATAATTAAGACCGTAGCATTAGATGAAGAGGGGAAATCACTTAGAAGGAATGACACAATCCTTTTAGAAATAACACAATAACGTTCACAGATCTCTGGAGGTTTATTACAATCTAATACTATAAAGGTCACCATCTGTCAGCAGGCTGTCCAATGGAAAGGTACAACACTTGTCATTATGCAACAACGCCCACGATTCCTTATGCTGAAGACTTTTTTTCTCCTCCATATTAGTTCATCTGCCACTCAGAACATAAAACAGGATTAATGTGACAGAGCCTCTGGTCATAACACCAAGAGTAATGAAATTCAGATGTGGTGCTTAGCAGGGCTGTTGACTGAAGCTCCCAGACAGCAGATGTTATTCAAATTAACCTTCATTAATTAATATTAATCTTCCACAAGCCAGCTTTAACAAATCAACACTCCTGTCAACTCAAAACATGGCCGGAGCTCACCGAGCTGGAAACGGTAATATCCAGTTAAACCAATAAGAGAGAAGGATCACAGGCATAATGCGACTCTGTTTAAACTGATGCTGAGCTTGGATTGATGTCATTGTGTTCTTAATCCAACCCAAAATGCTCCATCTAATTATAACTGTGTGATTTATTTGCATGGGATCCGTTTTATTAGAAAATGAGACAAAATATGAGAGGGCACATCTATCTCGCCCTCTGGTGGCCATCATCTGCAGCGAGCTGGACTCATTCTGCTCCAGAAGAGGGGCGATGTGCTCAAATTCAGGTTAAAACACCAGAACAGATCGGTTCTGACCAATGCTCAACCTGGTCAGTATCACTGTAATATACTCGGGCTAGAGAAATCTAAATAAATGGAAAATGGTTGACAGCAAAGTAGAAACATTTCAAGTGGGAGCATGGCTCGGTAACCATGGTAACAACAAAAAGTGACAGTATTTTAGAAAATTGCTCATGTGTTTCAAACCTCGTTTAAAGCCAATTTCATCTCACAACATCATAACGTGAACCTCAAAGACAGTTGGAAGAGAGTAAGTAACAAACCTATCAGGTCTCAGCTCCTAAAATATGAAAACAAAGAGTAGAAAACAATCATCCATTAAAAAGGGTGATTTTAAATGTCTCTTTTAGTCTTTGTCAGTTTCCTCCGTGCTTGCTTTCCAAGTTCTAATCCAAAGCCACGTTGACGGAAGCTAAAGCCTCCATGGCCCAGCCGGGGTACTGATCAGGAGAGGGGAACATTCGCTTCATAAACGTCCGTATGAACTCAGGGAACCGGCCGTCCACGATGCTCTGCCTCACAGAGCGCATCAGTGTTAGCTGAAAAGAAAAATGTTCGTTGAACAGAAAAGGGAAAAATAATTTGATCACTATAGCTCCCTGGTGGTCAGTTATCTTCTGCTGTGTGCATTCAGAGTGTATGGGGTCATCGTCAGGTCAGGCTCTTCTGCGCACATCTGCTTTTATACATTAAGGAAGCACATGTTGGTGATACTTTAATAAAGCACTGGGGCTTATTAAATACAGAATAAACATAATAGCATGGATTAGAGCCAACTGACCATCAGCATTCAATTAAAGGTGCAGTGTGTGAAAACCAGTGACATCTGGTGGCCATAAAAGGGAGCACAACAAGCTTAAACCTCATGAAGGAGTGCTTTAAGCGTGCGCGCGCGTGCACACACACGCACACACACACACACACACACACACACGCGCACACACACACACACACACACACACACACACACACACACACAGTAGTGTCTCAAGCTTTCACACAGGAGAAATACAATATTATATTTACATGTTTTATTTAAAGCAATAAGGGTTATAATGTAAGGTAATTAAATTGTAAACAATAGAATGGCAGCATTAGAGTGCTAATTAAAAACATCCCCATTTTTTTAGAATATTATTTGTTTATAAAGCAGGCATATGGCATTTTTCTTAAGTTATGGCCAGTATAAAACATATTCATGAAGTTGTTTGAACAAAATCTCTCCCACATAAAGTGATCTCAGCAGTTTTAGTTCAGACATTTTGGCTTCCAGAATGAGCCGTCACATGGCTCCATCACTCTAGAGCTGCAATGGAACATCTGCTTGATATGGAACGCACATGGCCAGAATAAACGAGATTAGCTCTAAACACCAGTTGCATTCAGCTGTAGGTTCAAACGTCTTCTGCTGTCCGTGATTCAAATGGTAATTTTCACTTTGGGACTCAAAGTTGAAGTGGTAGCAGCCGCCTGTTTCTCCTTCTCTGATATTATTGAGCGGAGTTGGTTTCGGACCGAGCCATGTTATTGGCTATGGTTTTTAGACAAATGCAAGAGAACCACTTTATTACTGTTTGTAATCATCTCCACAATATATTTATAGCAATACTGTGTTAGAAGAGGAATGAAAAATGTTTTAAACTAGCTTGTTTTGCAGATTTGCCATTATAGCTTTAAGAAAACAAGCTGGAGCTGGCCACGCTCCCTCCTCCACTAACTGGCTGCTATAAGCTGAGAAGCTCTCACATCTGGAGGTCGTTCAATGCGAATTTCGGACTTTTAGAAAAAGTCAGTTTTAGGCAGGTGCTTCCTAAAACAAAACACCGACATAAAACGGATGGCTGGGTTTTTCACACTCGGAGTGTTTATAGAGGCAGTAGAGATCCACACGACAGCAAAAATGGATGCCTCAGTAATTTATTTAGACCAAAGTGCATCCTACCAAGCTGCTGATGTTCCAGATAAAAGCTCAGAAAATTCCCTGACAAGTTCCAGCATGTTCATAAAAGAATTTTCTGAAACTGACCTGGTAGGAAATGTTATGAATGGTGACATGATGCATGGCAGCCGTGTCGCTCTTAAACAAGGCGTGAAGGTAAGCTCGACTGTGTCTGAAACAGAAAACAAAAACAAGTCTGTGTCGCACATTTCAAACATCATCTTTCAGCAACACAGGCCATTGTCATGTTTTGGGCTGGTTGGGATTAAACTAAATGCATGCATACATTAGTTAGTTTGAAAAGGTCATTTAAAATCCAGGTTAAAAAGTTAGAATTGTCTTTAACTTACAAGTCTAAATGAAAAGTGTCATAGATTTATTTTAAAAATGGTGCTAAAATAAACTTTCATTAGATTTTGAAATACCTCTTGCAGGTTGGACACTGACAGTCTGGGTCTATAGGCTGGAAGTCCTTGGCATACTGCTTCTGTTTCACCTGGAGAGAGCCCCAAGGCACCAAGGCGGAACCAAACCTCTGAGAGAAACCATCACGGTTAAAAGCAGTTCTTCACACACTGCCTGGTCAAAAAAAATGTCGCACCCCCTAAAAATTGGGTCACACACGCTAATGTTTTGTTGGACCGCCATTAGCTTTGACTCCACACACACTCGCTGTGGCACTGTTTTGATAAGCTTCTGCAATGACATCAGTGTTGCACTGACGTGTCACCAAGACCTTGCTTTGATGATGGTAGAGTCTGACCGCTGTACAAAGCCTCCTCCAGCACATCCCAAAGATTCACAATGGGGTTAAGGTCTGGACTATGATGGGGCAAAATATAATGTGTTGGTAGGACTGGGAAACTTGTGGCCATATTGGCGACAGTCCCACTGAGCAGCCAGGCTTCCCGGTTCCGCTACCTCGCTGCAGCCAGAGCCAGAGACCTGCAGCGACGCTAGCCTCGCTGATCTCCAACTGCAGAGGAGGAGTGGAACATGGGCTTACGGGGCCTGAATCTGAATGTTGAGGTCTGAGGTGGTGCTCGTCACATGTGGAGTTATCTGAAGGTGACCACAGAAACTCTGCAGCTCGGTGAGTTCATGGGTTTGTGTGTGTTGTTAAAGAACTCCTTCAATAAAAAAAATTCCAAACAACAAATATGAAATGTATGAAGAACTTACCGCCGTGCGGGTTGGGAAGACGCAGTCAAACATATCACATCCCAAAGCAACACACACTACTAAATCCACAGCATACCTGCAGTATGGAAAGAAAAGACATGCTTCTGATTAATGTCATTATAGCAAACAAAACCCGTTTGCAAAAGGCATTTTTCTGCAAACATACCCAACACCCATCAAGTAACGAGGCTTTTCTCTTGGCAGGTAGTCAGTGCTCAGTGTGACCATCCGCCAGAAGTCATCCTTCTCTTCTCCTCCACTCAAGCCTCCAATGGCAAAACCAGGAACATCACGCTGAGTCATTTCTGCATTAAAAATATCGACATATCAACACACGCAATACTAAATTATGATCATGAGTTTTTGATCTTGCAAAAGTCCAGTTACACATTTGTGCGTTATCGTTTTGAACAGCACAGCCAAGGCATTAAAGTCTTTAGATTCATCCACTTGTCTTTTTTTCTGCACCAATTATCCTGCAACATGTTGATTTCCAACAGCTGGATTTTAGAGGCAAATGAACATTTATTTAAAGGGACTTTATGGAGTTTTGAATTGTTATGCTCGCGATTGCCCCCTCAGGCCAAAAGTGTAACGGCAGCTTCAATAGTAGGCTCGTGCACGAGGCGCGCATGCTGTACGTGCACACTCCTTAACGAAAATAACAGCTGAGACAGTCCCGTGTGTGTGTGTGTGGGTGGCCCGGAGGAAAGAGGGCAGGAGAACAGGCAGCTAATTAATTAAATAATTTGGTTCTGTATCTTTCTTTTCAGCACAGCCGACAAAGGTTGATGATGGGTCAGTCCTCCTGCATGCTCAGATCATTCCCTTCCCTTGCTTGAAAAATTGTTCCAAGATGAAAGTTGAACCCACATTTTTTTATCTGTGAATTCAATGCCGTTCGACGAGTCTCAAATAAAAATTTGGGTGTCTTACTGTAAAAAAATATACCATTAATGTAAAAAAAAGAAACTCTAAAAAATCTATTTTCTCACCCAGAATCGAACCTGGGTCTCTTGCGCTAGAGTCCGACGTCTAACTAGATGAGCTTAACCGCCACTGACGTCTTCGGTATCTGTAACATTTATATCCTTGATTACAGCTAAAACAACGCTCAAAGAACGGTTCGGAGCGAAAATGGCTATTTTGTTGCTAATTTGCATCACTAGGCGTTAGGAACAGAGACAAAGTCGCTGAGTTGGCACTACCTCTCTCTCTGCTGCTAAAGCTACGGATAGCAAATGCTACGGGCGATGCCTGAGCGTGAACGCGCATGAAGCAGCCTGCTCGACCCGAGCAGCTCTCTTTTTCTGTGATTTTACAGAAAAAACAGGCAATCACAGTAAAAATGCCAGGGCTCATTCTACAGGACCAGGGCGTTGCAGGAGAACGTATGAAGAAGACATTAATTATTTCTATACATGTTTTGGCTGTCAAACTTCCATAATGCCCCTTTAACTGGTTTGACGTCCACACTTCATCTTCTTATGTTACGTGCTTGTCAATGCTGAGACAGAAGAAAAGAGTAAAACCAGAGGAAGGATATAGTTTTTTTCCTCCTATTACCATTCAGGCAGGCCTTGCGCAGCTGTGCATCCAGTCCCCCCTGAATGATGGCAAAAAGGTTCTGTCTATCAGGATGTTTATTGGCTGCTATGCAGCGATCCAGCCAGCGAATGGATCTATGCATGGCTTCCTCGACCCGTGGTCCCTTCACTGTACTGCTGACAACATCATCCAGCTGCATCATGATGTCAGACCCTGAAAGAGGATGAGAAATGTTGCCTTTGAAGAACACATAAAACATATTACTAAATCAACATGATTCACTGTTTGCTCACCCAAACTGTTTTGTATGCTGATGGATTTCTCAGGACTTAACAAGATTTCTTTGCCATCATAGGGGGATTTAAATTTGACCCCTTCCTCTGTGACCTCTGAAAGTTCCACAAGAGACACCATCTGAAACCCTCCACTGTCCTTTAGGAGAGAGAGAGGGTATCCTTTACACTTTGACTGTCTATTACTCTGAGAATACAGCACCACGTAACTTCTGGTTTTCAGGAAATCTGTATTATTATACTTACAGTTAAGAGATTTCTCTTCCAGTTCATGAACCCATGTAAACCGTTAGCTCTCTCTATCAAATCAGGTCCCTTTAGAAAGTGGAAGCAACATAGCTATTAAGTGATCTGGCCATGTTTTAAACCCTACTGAATACGTCACAAGTTACCCACCGGCCTCATCCCAAGGTGGTATGTGTTTCCGAGACAAATTTGACATCCAAGGCTCTCCAGCTGGTCAGCAGTGATGCCCTTCAGTGTTCCCTGAGTGCCGACGGGCATAAAAACCGGCGTGCTGACTGTCCAGTGTGGCAGTGCTAAATCACAAGCTCTTGCTTTAGTCACTGGACACTCAGCAACAATTCTCAAAGCAAGAGGCGAAGCTGCAGTTACAGCTTTCTTCAAAGACATGAGGCTTTCTGATGTGTTTCTATCTACTCCACGTACCGTGGCGGCGGCCATGTTTCAATGGGCAGCAACTGACAGTCTGATCGACCAATTGGAATCGTAACGCAGCGTGACAAACACGCCTTTCACATTGTTATCCAATCAGAATATAATTTAGTGACGTGACAACAGAATTAGCAAATAAGCGACTTAGATTCTGACAGAGACAGAAGAGGCGGGTCTACAATTACCGGTTTCGATCGGATGTCGTCTCACCGGACCGGATGGCGTTTGTGTTGAGGAAGTTTTGTTTTGCGAGTTTTTCGTTCGTTTCGACTCGCTGGGGTTTTAGTTAACTTAGGAATACGACACTATGTTGCTCTGAACTGGCAGTGATTTATAGGAGCTCAGGATTTCAAAGTCGAATTAAATATTTGAGCTGCTTGAATCGGCTGAACTCAACACTTACGAGCAACCAGAGAGCACATCGCTGCTAAGCTAACATTAGCCTCCGGTTTTCGTTTAACTGAAGGGCTCTCCGAGCTAAACGAAGCCATGGGGAACCGGGGCATGGAAGAACTGATTCCCCTGATCAACAAGCTTCAAGATGCTTTCAGCTCAATTGGGCAGAGTTGCAATTTAGATCTTCCACAAATTGCCGTAGTCGGAGGACAGAGCGCTGGAAAAAGCTCTGTATTGGAAAACTTTGTTGGCAGGTAAGGGATAAAAATTCACAAGATTAGTTATTGGTTGTTTTACAATTTATGTGAAGTCATAAGTAGTATTTGAACACGTTATGAATACTTAAATATGATATTTGTCATAAAACTAAGTTCTAACGTCAAGTGCTTGAACCGTACGTGTCATTTACGCACTTTTCGTAAGTCATCTTGCACAGTAAAAAGGGGAATAATTATAAGAACTTTACTTTTCCACACCTACAGATTGGATTGAATTGGTAATATTTTGCAATTGGTCCAGGTATTTGTATTCTTTTCAGTTTACAAATACAATAGACACTCAAACTACCGGAAAACAACATTCGCATTTCCTGTTTTGTTTGTTTTCATAGCTGACTGCTGGAGTTCAACCTTATCCTATTGTTGATCGTTTTTGAATATTTTTTCCTTTGAGGTTTGGAAGTGTCAGCTTTATGGATAAATACAGGCGTTCATTAGATGTTGGTTTCTTTATTCTCAGAGGGTTTATGCGTGTTTTAATTTATTATTATAGTGTGACTTTCAACATTGAGCGCAGAAAGTTACGCCATCACAGTGAACTTGTTTTGTCACACATCTGCAACAGACACTACTTCCTATACTGTGTTCCCCATTCGGGCCAGTTTTGGTTAAAGCTTAGAGTTTAGGGAAATGGATTGTATTTGTACTCTTCTTTGTTTAAATGGTGAAGTCAGCTGGTGTACCTGCTCCCCAGAAGCTCGGCTGTCATCCTCAGAAAGTTGGTCCTTTTGACCTCTACCTCACAAGCACTGTGTGCCTGTCATGAGACAAAACAAGCTTGGTCTAAAGCAACTTGTTGAACAGGTTTCCACCGCGTTGACTGACACTGACTTTTTAACCCCACCCACCTGTTACACACGCTAAGTCCACCCTGTATTATAAAACCATAAACGGACTGAAGAGAGCATGTTGTAGCTGCTTCTTGGCATGTTCGTATCATCGGACAGATCGTGCTTGGTGTACATTCATTTACATAAGTGGGGTTTTCTATTTTGAGACCACATTAGTGACACCAGCAGCATTTACCTTGATGGGGTTGCACTTTTTAACAGATGCCCTGTTGTCTGCCTTTTTGCAGATCTAAAATTGATCCATCTGCTTAATGTTACTCTGATTAGACTCTTTGTGTGAAGTGCACTAGCAGTGAAAAACCCAGAGCAGTGTCGTTGAAGCGCCACGCAGCTGACGTTGAGAACAGACAGGAAGAGCATTACAAATCGAAGTCATACCTTTGGGGTGGTGCTGCACCACAATAGCAACAGCCACACCCTAGAATTGTTGTTGATGGAAGGTTGTGCTTGAATCCAAGAGGTGGCAATGCCTAAATGCACTGTCTTGCGCCTTGTTTTGTTTCTATGCTTTGTTATAGTAGTAGGATCATTCAGTAGGTGATTTATGTTGACAACAGATCATGAGCAGTGGGCTTTTATTTCAAGTAAAGCTGCTCTGTCGTTCTGTTTGTGGCTGAGTTTTCATTTCTTTATTGTGGTGCACGATGAGAGCAAAGGGAAGTGTCTGAATCCACATAAAGGATAATAAACTCATTTACTTTCTGCAGTGCCAATGATAAAAGAAAAAAGTAGAAAAATGATGACATACATTTCTGACAATAGGTCAAATGTATTATCCTGACACAGGGTGCAAATGTGTCTATTGTTTCACCTTCTCTCCTTTTGAACTTCATAGATAAGTTATGCATTTGTCAGATGAGCATATTTATTTAAGAAGTAATGTTCTACTATCAGCATTTTTGATGCTGCTAAGATGTATTTCTTGCTTGAATCCAGTGAAGAAGTTATTGCTATACAATTTCTTTGTTATCTAAATACTTTTCCAGCCCTGGGTTTTTAGCTGGGACTGAAGTTTTAGTGATTAACGTTTGTTACAGATTACCATTTCATTATCTCTGAATGACTTGCATACTTTTAGATCTAGGTGAACTAAATCATTCTGACTCCGTAGCATAATAGACATGTGAAATTGTAGTGTGTTGTTAGAGGCTGATGGATGCCGTTTTTTTTCTGTGGCCAAAACCGATAGCAGGAACTGGACATGTCCTGTAAGTTTTCAGTATTTTTAAAGACTCTGTTAGCATCTGCATGTTTCCCCCACAACCTGAGAGGTGACTGTTGAATGAGGAAACAAGAGTTTATTTTTATTTGTATAATCCTGTAAATGTTTAAAACATTCAGCAGTTTTATGTTGTCCTGAATACTGTTGTGGTTGAAGAGCTTTTAGCTGAATGGCATGTTGTGTCTGACATGCTTTTGTTTAAAAAACAAATACCTGACATCTTGTATTCATTAATGAAAATCAACCCATATGAATTAATCATGATGCATCAAGATATCGACTTGAATTAAATGTAATTGTTGACACGATGATAGTAACTGAATTGAATAATGAGACTAGTGAAGATTCATGCCACTAGTTGTTAGGGTTGTCCTTTAGATTTTGCATGCATCATGTTTACTTAAAGAGTAACTAAACCCCCAAATAACTTATTTTTGCTCATAAACTGTATAATTGGGTCTTTACAAATGCAATCTTTCTGTTTCTGTGCATTTTCTGACATGCTTGTGTAGACGTGATTAAATGTAGAATTTAGGTCTAAAAACATCTTAGTGCTGCCCCCTGTGGCAGAACAGCGGCTACTGCATTTTAAACTTGTGATTGGCTGGGGCTGGAACAATTTCACGTCATTGGTACAGTCTCCTCCCACTCCCCCTCCCTCCCAGGATGGAAATTCCCCACACTTGGCCATGCTGTGCCTCCTGACAATGCCCACTTTCATGGCATTTTTCAAATCTTGACTAGGGGTGGAGTTACATTTTCTGATGGTGTGCAGTCTCTCTTTGATGAGGAGCAAGTATTGTAAGGCCCAATGCATTGTGTCAAACCATGTCAGTTTACCTAATAAAATACTGTTTTCGCTCTCAGGTCCAGCTTTTATATCTGATGCTTTGTAGTTCTATTGCTTATAAATAAACAAATACACACAAAGGGAAATTCATGTTACAGTTGGTGAGAAATAAAGGCCGACCGATATGTTTTCTAAAACATATGGGTTATATAACAAACTCAAAACATTTACAATGTGCAAACGGTTTCAGAACAATAGAAAATAAAACAGATTAAAGTTTTTTTAAGTGTTTAAAATAAAGAAAACCAAACAGTAACCTGAATAATGGTGGCTGGTTGAGGTAGGATCTTAATGTAAAAGAAAATCACTAAGTAAAGCACACTACCACATTGTAGTGAAAAATACAATCTAAATTATACATAAAAATTGTGCAAACATTAAACACCAAACCTAAAGGGAAATTCCACTCAGAAGTAACATTTTGTCTGTTGTTAGATTTCCCAGAGTTAGATAAGTGAGAAAAAGGATTTGGTAGTGAACTAGTTCAGTCATTCTCCTGATCTGGAAGCAGTAAGTTTTGCTTTAGCTTAGCATAAACCTATGTAAGTAAAAGGAATGTTCTATGCTAGATCCATGGCGGCAGTTGGCCACACAAGTGCGGCTGATATAGGAAAAAAAATGTAATATATCTGCCCAATATATCGGTCGGCCGTTGTGAGAAATCCACAGGTGGAAAAAAGCTACGAGATCATTTCATGAAAATAAATCTGATGAGAAAATAGACCATAATACATACACATTCTAACAATGTAGATCACTTTTTTTATTGTTTGTTGTGCTGTTCTGTCATTTTATTGTCCCAGCAGGCAGTTTAGTTATCTTTATCGCCTCAGGCTGGTTTGGGTGGAGATACCTGATCAGATTAGCAGCAAACGCTCAACTACAGAAAACCTAACTGTTTATGATGACCTGGAACCACTGTCATAGATTTAGGCCTTTTTTGTTGGATACATGTGTGGCAGCTAGCTTTAGTTTCATGCTGTATCATTAAAAACACAAGCTATTTTAACATTAAACATATGTGATATTTGTGCTTGCTACTACCACTTAACTCTGGCCTAATAGCAAAGGACATATAAGAAAAATGGATCTGAAATCGGCCTATGTTTGTGTGAGGAAGCCATCCAAACAGCAGTTTTAGTGTTTGTCGGGATTTTCCATGAGGCTGGTGCTTGGAGAGGCTTTGCTGCCTGGGGTTTCCTCTTGGTAACAGTGACAGACTGATGTGGGAACGCGGGTAACCATAATTATGTTCTTTGCCACTCTAAGAACCCATAGAAAAGGCCTTGTCCACCCACAAACACGTTTTTGTTTAATGTGCCCCTCCTTGAGTTTACTATGACCTCATAAGTTCACACGTTGGTTCCCATGTTTGAAGCCTCTAAAATGAGGATCAGCTGTGAGCTGTGGCTCCTTTGGGCTATAAGAGCTGGTAGGGGCAGACGGTCCTATTCTCTTCTGATTTAGCTTTCTTGGAGGGAGAAAGGCACGCAGACTGGTGCTCTTGGCTCTAAATAATTCATGAAATGACACACAATCTGCTGAGCCTCGTCAATCATTTAAAGCACATCAAAAATAGAATTCTGGCCTCTTGATTCTTTTTTAATCTGTAATTGAGTTTTATCCAATTCTGTGAAAACAGTAGTTCTTTGTCTTTTAACAGAGAATGCACCTCTAGAAAATTCTTTATTCTACCATTTAGGTGTTTTCAGGTGACGTTTAATGAAGCGGGCCCTTCCTTTCATGTTGTGAATGTTTCAACTTTAATATTTGTTAATTTATTCAGTCTTGTCGGCGTATTCTAGAGAACAAAATCAGACTGACTAGCAGAGGTTTCAGACGCTACGTCTGACTGATGACACACTGCCGTCTGCTGTAATGCTAATGCAGAAGCACAGTCGCTCTGCTACCGCTCACACTAGTGTTTGTAGGGAGTTACCGGCGTGACTTCGTCAGCTACTTCAGACTCAGTCGGGAAGCTATCTTCTGTTTTGAGAGCGCCATTTAAAAACAGGTTTTAATACAGTTTTACACATGCCATTCAATGACATTT